GGGGCGAACCATCTCAGCGCGAAACGGAATTGGTGCGAAACATCGCAGCGCGAACCATGCTTAGGTGCGAAACATCCCGTTACCGTTTCCGACCCGATTTTTACATCACGCAAAAGTGAAATGTAGGGCATGTTTACTTCCGTTTTCATCGTAAACGATGGCGTCATTAGATACAGACTGCGATTACGACTATAATTTCAATTCTTGGCAAGTGCCTATGCTGAAAGACCTTTTATCCCTTAAAGGAATAGCTTTTTCAATATATTTAAATCATCATTTGATAAGACTTTGTGAACTGGGAGTTGAAATTCAGAAGTGGCAGATGATTAGGCCTACAGGGTGCATGGTGATGTCAAACTGTTGGAGATAAAGTTTTCCGAAATATAACAAGTGTTGATAGGTGGTCTGAAGATCTCATAAAACTGCCGAACATTGAGATTTCCGATGTTTTCATAAAACTTTTGAACGATGGCTGGAGTACGTTATTCTCGGTTGAAAACATAGACAGAAACAAGACAATGGATACAGACTAAAACAACCACGTTGATAAAGTGAAAGTGTCCCCCCTGTCTGATGATTTTCAGTACATCAAGTGTGACACAGTTCCTGAGACTAGCCAGATGCAGATCCGTACAAGACCTGGATATTTGTTGAGGGCAATGAACAGATTCACTCAGGTGGATGTAGTGTAAATATTCTGGTTTTCACATTATGACTACAGATTCTCCAGTAGGATTTAAAGCAATAATTATCAAAAATGTTATTTCATAAAGATATACTAATGCTTTTTGTTCATAAAAAAAACATACACAGAGGGAGCCCTGTCTCAGCCTACAAGCATTTATGATTATGTAAATTGCTCAATACACTATTCATGTCATGGAATTTCATATTCAATACTTCATCACTTTGAACAAAAGTTCTCTTGATTTTAGAGATGATGGGTCGTGTAAGCACTGTACAGCTTCGATATTTGCTGTGGCTTCATTCTGTGAGAGGCACAAAGACTGTCACACTCAAGTCGGAACAGATATTCCATGTGTTTGGGACAATTTTTTAAGCCTCGTGTCATCTCATCTTGTATTGGCCAATTACATAAAACTACAGGACTATACAGGAGAAGAACCTGAAGTTAGCGCTCACCATTCAATAAACAACCCATGCAAGTCCTTGAACAACAACTCTATTAAAGAAATTGAAGAAAAAAAAAATTGTTTCAACTCCTGTGTTTTTACACAAAATGTGGATTTTTCTGTGAGCAAATACATTATGATCCTTTGAAATTTGAGGAAATAGTACAGAAATGTGAATATTTCTTCAACAAACATTTGAAAGTTGCAATTATGTCTCTCTAAGTATAGCAGAGTAACAAATTTGTGAATGAGATAAGCATGTAATGCATACTAATTTATGGCATTCTTGATTATAACAGTGAGAAAAACTTAAAACACTTTTGGTCTAAGGTACAGGATTCATTAATATTCATAATTTATTGATGGCAGAATACCTGAACTGATAAATATAAATTAGGAACAAACAATAAAATATTTCAATCATCATGATCATATGATTAAATTCTTTCAAAAATAATACAATATTTACATTACAGTTTGTATCAGACCTGGGGTAATGGTAATGCATTGTAATCATTACATTTTTTCGAAGTAATTGGATGTAATGTGTAATGGACTCATCTTTCAATTACAAGTAATTGTAATGTTTATGCATTAATTTAAAAAAAAATGTCAGTAATGACCATTGCCTTTCAATTATATTTTGGTTTTAAATCTCTCTTCATTATTGAATCTGAAACAAATAAAGGTCACTGAGAGGTTATTTTTTTTTATTTATAATGTTAAAGTCTTAAAATTAAAATCCTATATCTTACTTTTTTAAAAAAAAAATGTTTATTCAGTGGTGATTGACAGACATACTAAATAATTGTTTTAATGGAAAACTTCTTGACAAGACAGTTATAAAATCAATTGAAGAAAGCCAGAATTGTTTTGAAAAAAAAAAAAGAAATCATTGGGTTTCAAAGAAGCCACAAAACAAGTGACATTAATACATTTATTTTAAAAAAAAAACGGAGGAACTAACATCAGAGACTGAACAAAACTGCAACATTAAAAGTGTTCCGATCCACTTTCTTTGTCAACTGTAGATCATGGTAGATTGGTAAACTACATGGACATGATAAATGAATACAAAATCCAAATACCACTCTGACTAACAGACATGAGGGAAAGCATATCAACCAAGCACAAAGTGTGAAAAGTATAGATATAAATTGTGTGGTCATAAAATTTGTGTTTTTCTCTTATAAAATGTAATGTGTAATGTAATTCATTACTTAAACAAAGTAATTGTAATTTAATTAATTACTTTTCTAAATGAGGGTAATGGTAATTGTAATGGTAAAAATTTCGAAGTAATTGTAATTTAATGCATTACATTTAAAGTAATTGACCCCAGGTCTGGTATGTCTTAGATGCCTTTATGGAATGAACATTCAGATACATAAAAAAGATCTTATTCTTCTGATTTAATTTACATGTAAGCACTTGTTTCAGATGTCATATTATGTGCATAGCTACTATTCATGATCATAGAGCATTCATGAACACATCTTTGGATAGTACAATTACATGCATCATATATAGATCATTATTCGTTTGTCAAGTGGTGATACAAGAGGGAGTGATTCCAACAAGGCACTTTAATGTGTTATGGCTCTTATAGTTATTGTATGTTTGATGCTGTGCTCTAGGGGTACATGGCCGCTGAACAAACATCTCTGTTCAGTCGACTACTCTGAACTCTTGTCCAAGGAAAAGCATTCTTGAACGAGTGTGGTATGAATTTCCTTATACTTGTGCTCTTGAAGGCCATTTAATTTGAGGTCCAAATACCTATATAAAATACAGTTACTTAGTAATACTTTTCAAAGTCAAAATACTAGTATTCTGTGTGAATTATATTATTTGTGAATCTAAATAAATAAATATATATATATAATATATTTACCAATTACCAGTAATTAATTTATTTAAGGAAATAAACCATTTGTAATATAATAAAAAAAATTAAGATATTTTCATAAAATATTAACAATATTTAGATTTTTATTTGAAACTTAGACAAATTAGTGAACTTGCAGTTTGAATCTAATATTTCTTAGTAACACACCCTATATATGAGATTAATCCATGTGCTAAATATTTGGTATACCTGACTCTCGGCTACCCCAAACAAGTTAGCAAGTAAAGAGGTGTTGACACCAAGTCAAATTCTAAGGAGTGTGATCAAGAATTCTTCGAATCTAGTCAGCTTCCTGGATGGCCCTGTTTTTTTTTTACATTGACCCTCTTCACACTTCTTCTCTGTTGATGTAGAGGTATACATGTATATTCATAGCGGTTGTATTCGCATATGCATGCTGAGGTTTTTCAATGGAGGTGGTTTCTATTTTGGAATCTTGAAATTGTAGCGACTAAATAGGGTAGGATAGGATTGTTTTCAGTGGGACAGCCATCTACAAAATGTAGGGAACAAACGGAGTGGTATCGTCTAGGGGAAAACTCCTCATCTCGAAAGACCTGCTGAGGCCATGCCGGCCACTGCCTTCGTAATTTGAGTTTCCTCTTAAAATTGGACGCCTTGCATCCAAGGATAAGTGGCTCAACTGGCCTCCCGTCTGCTGCACACCCTGGCAAAGAACACCAGTAGTGGCTGGGAGTATCTGTGTTCTTCTTTTTTTTCAGACGTCGAATAATTTCGTCTGCTCAATATTTCATTGCGATGTAAACATTCGCCATTACAATGCCCTACATTTCCTTATTATCACGTGACTGCTGTATACATATATTTTATTAATGATTTATTTACATTTTTCCGATATGTTTTGGTGAACAGCTGATTTGTTATTTACGCGAGTTATCGTTCTTGTGTTGGTTGTCTGAGAGAAGAAATAGTACCGCATATCTAGCTTTAAAAATACACTTTAAAACTTCTTTTTAGAAAACTTTTTTGTGTATTTTATATATTTAAGACATAATTAATCAGAATATTACATCAGTTTTGCTATATATAGCCCATATTTTTGTAGGTCTTCCGTAGGTCTTCAATTACCTGTAGGTCTTCAATTAGGTATTCCCGTAAAAGTCAGCCGTAAACCACGATTCCGGCGTATCTCGAAAGTTCCGTATTAGCCTACTTGTCAATGAAATTGTTATCAACGCATTTATGCAATAGAGTTATATATCTCTTTAAAATGCTTTGAGCACTTTCATCGTTGCTTTCGAAAATCAGTCAATCTTCTTACTGATCATGAATGATCAATCCCCCGATTTACTGGAACGAGAGAGAGCAGACGAGTGCGTGCAAAGTCACAACTATCCTATTCATCAACTGCAGTTAAACACTATGATCTTCACATACAATTCAATGACCCAGAAAGAGAAAAGCAAAAGGAACTACTTTCTTTTCGAACAATGAACTTTTACAATACCTAAATCGCTTTTTAATATTCCAGGATGAGGATCACTTCTCGCCCTACAAATCCCGAATCTCCTCCGTCCGTCAACAGATCGACTTCTGACGTCACGTCGATAATTGATTGAAACGCTTCTCAGCAAGGTGAAAATGTTTTGACTAATCAAGCGTTAAAAATACCCGGAAGAATAGTTTAAAACATGAACCAGACAAATGCTATATTTCCGGAAAAAGAAAGTCCCCCTCTTGTTTCGATAGGGAACCGAAACTAAAAGTTAACCTTTGAAGACATCAACTCATCCTGGCAGACACTTCACACTTCCTGACAGATTTCATGCACGGATCTAGGAAGAAAAAAAGACCATGGATTGTGTCTATATCTATATGATATCTATATCATTGTACCGAGAGAGTGTGTGTGTGTGGGGGGGGGGGGGGGATTTTATACACCGTGCATACATAACCACACCCAAAAAATTATTTAAAGAACAACAACCAAAAAAATCTCTCTTTTTTTTTACTTTATATTCATATTATGCATGTACATATCACAGTCATCTTGTATAATATTTAAAAAAAAAACTAGTTTTAAAATTTCTTGTTTCATATGAAGAAATTTTTCTCCACATAGATGTACTAGAAAATAAAGCAAGTCTGCAAAACTCGCAAGTAGATTTTAAAATTACTTTACAGTAGAAATGTAATCAATATCACATATATCAGCTCTGCATGGATCCTTAGTTTCTAAGTCTGAAAAAGTTAATAATTAACCAATAATTTTCAGATTGGTGGAATCAAAATGTGCAGAATGTAACTTATTAATATTCACTTTTAATTTAAATGCCATTTCTTATTAATTCCCATGAGTTAAAATAGGAAACATGTTGATACCCTTCCAGTGAACTTTATTTCATAGAACTCTGATATCTCAAACATCACAGTTCTGCATGAATACAAAAGATACATCAAAGTGAGTCCAGTTTCAATTTCGAAATCTGGTATATCACAAAGTTTTTTAACAGTCCTGTTATTTTTGAGATATCAAATTTTTAAAGTAACTGTATATTTGATTCTTAAGATAAGAAAACAAATTTAATTCCATTTCTCCAAAAAATCATCTGCCAAAAGTTGATAATCCCATTAAAAATTGGCAAGAAGCAGCACATCACACAGAGAGTAAAAGTTAGAATTCAACAGTCAGGAAGAAATAAATGCATTTACATGTACCTAGTTTATAAGTAAAAAATGATGTTGATCTTTTCATACATGCTGTTATACAACCCATCAGTGTATTTTTTGCAGTTTCCTACCAAAAGATCATTCAAAATGAGTTTTAATTACCCAGGAAATGTATCACACTATATATTATGCAGAGCAACAAAATACTCAGGTATATACTATGTATTCTGTGTTGTTGTGATTCGTAACATAAAATCTCATCACAAGAAATTACATGGAAATGGACAGGTCACATTTTTATGTCAAATAAAAGAGCAGGTTACTACAATACTATCAAGAATATTTTCTTTCTCCATCTGTCAGTAAGTCCCTGGATATCAAAAGTCTCATTATTTCATTTGTTCCTGAAAAAGAAAAGGATACCCATAATTTCTTAGCCATGTAAATTTTTTAACAAGCATGAATGACTTTAATATCAGTAGTCTAACAGCTAGGATAAACAAAAAAAAAAAATCAACTTTTAAAAATATCAGATAATGGGCTTTAAAACACAAAGACATTTTGCAAGGAGCTGGGGGACAGATCTAGGATTTTCAGTTTAATACAGAAAGCACAAAGTTAATAAAGAAATAGCTTATAATAGGGGGTGCATCCCTCATAAATCTGTCAATGAATGGCTTTTTCCTATGAACTACTGCTAAGAAAGTAAAGTGAAAATGTTTATCAATGTAATTAAAAACCATAAATTACCTTCCAGGATCTGGTGTACCCTAATGTCCCTGACATACTGTTGTATAGCATAGTCTTTCAGATAACCATAGCCACCATGGAGTTGTAAAGCTTCATTACAAATCTAGGGAAATATGAAAGAACTGGTACTTAGGAGGCATGTTCAAATCTTTATATATTATAATGTTCAACTTATGCATGCCAGAATCAATAGAATTATGTACACCACAGATGCTTGGATCTTAGTTCATCACAATCAGGAAACACTGAATATATACATAATAGTCATTGAAGAGTTCACATTTCATCATTTCACGATTGATTGATTGATTTTTTTTGGGGGGGGGGGGTACCATTTCATAACCTGTACATTTTATATAATTTGTATATGTGAATTTAACTGTCAAATTATTTGTATTCTACTGTGAAAATAGATCTGCAGTAAAAATTAATCTATATTCAGAATGTTAAAAATGTCCTGGTATCAAACAATCACTATTAAAATACATGAAACCTGACTACAATTAAGAAGATTCTTATAAGCTGGTTACTTTTGAACATTCTTCTGTAGCAAAATATTTGGCCATAGAGCACAGGGACACTTTTTCAGGCCAGTCCTCATCCAGGGCTTTGGCAGCCATTCTGACTATGTTTCTTGAGGTTACAAGTTTAGTGGCCATTTCTGCCAATGTGAATTGGAGATGCTGAGAAAAAAAAATCAAGCTTTATTACATGTATAACTATTGTTTGAAAAATGGTGGGTCTTTTTTCAAATACTTGTAAATTCAATTATGAAAAATTTTATTTGAAAAACATCAATTTTTACATTTAAATGACTGTAACAGACTTTCAAAAAGAAAATACCATTACATTTACCCTTCACATAAAAACTTGTATAAAAGACTGTCCTTGTCAAGTACAAAGCTCTAAAGTTTTTTTTTTTTACCTGGAAACTGTCCAATGTCTTTCCAAACTGTTTTCTGACTTTGAGATGATCCCTGGCAAGTTCAAGACTAGATTGTGCTGCCCCTAATGAGCACGAAGCTGAAAACATAAACAAATGAATTAAAATTCCTCAATAGTATATTAATTAAAGGGAGAACAAATTACCATTGCAACATTTTGTTTTCTCATTCTAGAAACTGTCATATCTCCACAGCTGCTCATTTTCTGCAGTACATGTACAATAATTTTCATTATCTTGTTGTACAAGTGTACTTTATAAAAGCTGACCCCCCCCCCCCCTTCGCCCCCTTTCATGTTCATTATAAAGGAGTTCTACTGCACCAGTAAAAAACCAAAGCATAACTCAAAAACATGCTAAACTTAACTTAATTGTAGACAAGGGACCCCTCTTGATAGGTATTTGGGGGGGGGGGGGGCACAAAGAGAGCATTATTGCAAGCTCGAAGACATCTAGGATTGTAATTTGACCAGTGAAAATGATATTGTAAACATATTTTCAGTTTATATCATGATATGAAGACCAGTTAACAAAAATGAGAACTTATCCTTTTACTCTGCTTAGAAAATATTGAAACTAGCTTCCTTACTGAATAATCGTAATACAATCAATACGTTTAACTTCCTACTAACCAAAAATATTTCCAGTTATCAATTTCATTTCCTGCACTAATCCTGTTGCTGTGGATGGTTTTGGAATTGTCTGATAAGATTTAATATAACTTGAATTTTGGCTTTAAAAAGCAAAACTGTAAACATTTACATTGTATAGGTATAAAAGTGCAGATTGCTAAGAATGCTTTTTTAAAATTTGCAACAAACAGACAAAATAATATTAATAGATAAGATTTTCTATCAACTCCACTTTCCCATTTTTTCAACTTAAATTTTATCCCTGACAAAATGATGTGTAGGCTACAGCCTTTTTGCCTATATGGAATATATGCCATTGACAAGAACATGCTGAAATTCCACCTGTAGTTACCTATGTTAATCCTTCCTCCATTCAAACCTCTCATGGCAATCTTAAAACCATCCCCAAGTTCCCCTATCAGATTTGAAGCAGGTACCTCACAATCCTCAAAAATAACGGCTCGGGTAGGTTGAGAGTTCCAGCCAACCTGAAGAAAAGTTAGAAAACTAACTTTAATTAGGTCATCATCGTTGCAAGCCACGGGTTTTGTGTCCATTCTATTTCCACACATTTGTGGAAATAGAATGGACACAAAACCTGTGGCTTGCGACATGTTAGGTCATATGTGAAAATTTGATTACACCATACAAGAAAAATAACTTCAGAGCCAGCTACATGTTGTATGGCTTTAGAGACCAATACATATTACATAAAAGGTCATTCAATTTTGAAAAATACTTGAATATGAAAAACCGGGACAATCGGGTAATTCTCACAAAATTCAGAATTAGTAATCATTGCTTAAGGGCAGAAATTGGAGATATGAAGGGAAACTTAATAAATATGGTAAAAATGAAATTCTTCCCAGGTGTGAAAGAGCCTGTTGTTACTGTATTTCAAGTCCAACAGAGGATGAAATACATTTTTTGCTAGAATGTCCACTGTATAATGATTCTAGAGGAGAGTTTCTAAATAAATTTTTTTTAAACTTTTCCAAATTTAATACTTTTACATGGATTATGTCAAATGAAGATTCTGAGTTTATTGTTTTATTATGCCAACATTTAAATGCAAATTTTAATATGAGAAAACAACATATTAACATATAGGCATAATACAGTCTTTATACCTAAACTATTTGTATACATTTAATACATCCTAAAAGCTGACAGCTAACTCTCTGTTCATTATAGAATTGTTTGTTTTGTTCTGTTTATTGTTATTTATAACTATGATTTCGGACATTGTTCATATTTATGCTCCACTGCGGGCCCAAATTGGTTGAATAAATATTCTATTACCTACTACTTAAATTACTTTCAGATATCATTTTACAACACACTTAGCAAACATTAAATATATTGACCATGACAACAAAATAAATTTTTACATACCTGATCAAATTGATTTTCATATTTTTATCATATTTTCAAGAGTTATCCCCCTTATCGCAATGCTACCAACTGATTCAACAACAATAAATGTATATGTATTATATTTGGCATGTACAATATTTAGCAGAAATGGATTTTTCAACAAGTTAGTGGAGATTTTATTTAGCGCTTTTTGAAAGTACTTCATAAAAATTAAATATGCAAGACATTTAGTGAATTTTAGTGGAAGTTTCTTCCCACAAAAGGTGGTACATAGAATACACCGCTAGATGTAATACGGTTACAGTACCTTTACAAGGTTGTAAATGAAAATTATTACAAACCTTTTTCTCTTTCTTGCCGAAGGCTAACCCAGGAGATCCCTTTTCTACCAGCAGACAGGAGATTCCTTTAGGGCCCTGCTCCCCTGTTCTACACATGACTATATAAACATCTGTGTCCCCTCCTCCACTGATGAATGCCTGTCAACAGAGTGATCTTCAAGTGTTTATGAAAGTTAGGTGCATTCAAGGAAGTTAAATAGCTATGATAATATTTCAAAACTATGATAATATTTCAATGAAAGTAATTTATATCCAGCAAAGCACTGTAAGAATTCATTACATATGTAGTTCCATACATATACATGTACATACATGTTCTTATATTTCAAATTCATCAGTGGGCCAAATAATAATTGAAAATTACAATATTTCATCTTATTTTTTTTTTTTAAATCATTGTAAAAATTCATTTAAATTCAAAGAATGTTTATGGACTATACATTATGTACTTATGAATTCCACAAAATACTTCCGCCAGTATATCAATTCCTGAACCAGAAGTGACCATTATTTTCTCAGTACTCAGAATATGTAATACAAATCAATGTAGCAGAGTCATTTGTCTCTTTAGTATTATCCTCACCTTTGATCCATTCAGTATTAATTTATCTCCCTGACGTTTAGCTGTGGTGCTGAGGTTTGCTGCATCACTGCCATGATTTGGTTCTGTCAAACAGTAGGAAGCAAGCTTGTCCATAGAACCCAACTCTGGGATCCATTTTTGTTGGAGTTCTTTGTTGCCAAATTCATCAATCATCCAGGCACACATACTGTGGGGGGAAGAAAGAGAGGTAATATTGCTTTGTATGTAAATGTGCACATCACTCATTATTGTTGATAAGATTTCTACCAGTAATTTATTTTGAAGTTTTCCCCAATAAATGTGTAAATTGTAAAAGTAAGTTAAATTATACGTTTCATTCATTTTCAATCCAAACATTGCAATTTTATCTCCTTTAATACTCTTAAATAATATAAATATAACTCAGGAAGTGAAGAAATAAACACTATGTTACTCAGCATGTTGCTTAGCCTTAGCTCTAAATTGTAGCTGATTAAAATCATGACACCTACTTATGAATGCTTATGTAAGCTGTGGTGCTGGCACATCCCTGTGACAAGGCCTCAAATATCACTGATGCATCCATACGCCCTAACCCTGTTCCACCATTTTCTTCTTTACAGTAAATAGCTCCAAATCCGAGTTCAGCAGCCTTCTTCATTGTATCTATTGGGAATATTTCCTATCATGCAACACATAAATTTACTATAATTGACAACAGAAAATGGTACAGCACCAAATAATTAAAATGTTAGTTATATTGGCTATGACTTGCCTCTAAATCTATTATTATCTTATTTCAATAGAAGGCATGATGCATTTTCCTTCCTGGCCGTACAAGATCATCATATTCTATAGCAAACACAGTTACCTTTTCTTTCACTGATTAAATTAATTAAAATGCTAGTTATAATAAAATGCTAACATTGCTTGATTTTCAACCAGCCCATTTCTTATACGTACTGTTAAGTCAAGAAAAATTAAAGTTCCCTAAAATGCTTATTTAAAATACATAAGACATTTTATGCCAAATTATATACCTGTTCATCCCATTTTGCCATATTAGGATATAACTCATTTTTAGCGAAGTCTGTTGCAACTTTCTGTATCTGTTTTTGTTCATCTGTTAATCCTAGTGCAGCTATTTTTTAAAAAAATAAAAAAATGATATGATTTAATGAAATTAAAAAAAACATGTTAGGCATTTGTATTTTGTACATAATTGCAGTAAGGCCAGAAAAATTAATCTTTAGATTCTCATCCCTGCCTGCCCCTCACAAAATGTCCCTACCCACTGTATTTTATTCTGTTTTCTTTTTTTTAATTAGGTTTTGTAATAACTTTGTTGCCATCAATCATGGTCAAAGTTTTAGAGTTACATCCCATTTGTATTAAATGTGTTATGTCACGTGGTGCTATTTTTACCACTGACCATAGGAGTTTGTGGAGAGCAAAAAACCTGTTTATTTCATGTTTAACATTTGTCGGCAACTTAAGATGATAATATCGCTACAGAAAATGGTAAATCTATATAAAAATTGTCTAGTAGGCTAAATTAGACATGTTGTGCAAATTAAATTTCGACAATGTGTCAAGAACAAAAAAAATTATGTTATAAGGACAGTAGAAATCTGTGATATTTTCAGACAAAACATAAGTTTTCGTTAATCAGACCAAAATAAAAAATATATATTTAGAAAAAGGTCAATGAGAAGTGGTGAATAACACATACAACAACAATTTATGTACAAAGTATTTGGATCCGCACCTAATTTTATACATGCAGAAACTGTTATGTGTGGTGTGTACCAACGTTCTCATAAAATCATTACTACAATGTGTAAGATAAATATTTTATACGATAAGAATCTTCTGTATACATTTTAAAGAATAAGCAATGAAATCTATCCATATTGGCATTTACAATGTAAAAATTTCGAATAAATAGATCGTTATGTAGATGTTTACAGAATTAGAAAATAAATAATAAAATCCGCCCACCCACCCCAATTTTAAGCAAATGAGGATGAGAATCTAAACTTTGAATTATGTGGCCTCATACAATGTATTAAAGGCGATTTCTTAATCAGTAATCATGAAAACGGGGCTAAAAATATATTACGATTGATGCAGCTTCCATCAACCCATATTTCTCCAATACTTCTAATAGGATTCACACTTCTGGTGCGAGAATTACATAAAACATTTTTCAATAACAAACTTGTCCTTCTAAGAGCAGCCATGATTAACACCTTTTTTGTTCTTTCCAGTAGAGAGAGTTCTAAAAAGGGAAAGCACTGTGTCTGAAGCTCATTCTCACTATTTTATTAGTATTTTTTGAGTATAAAATAAAATGTTAAATGAAAAAATATATATACATTTGTGTTTTTTCCAAGATTCTCATTTTGCACATCAGCTAAATCGTCCAGTGTGAATATTTCATCGTTAAATGTACATATGCATCGGGCTTGATATTCTGAAAATAACTAGCTCAAAACTTTGACGTCATTTCTGCCGTGGTAAGCCGGCCACGTCAACTTGAAGAAAAGTAGTCGACTTTTTCAGGTAAATTAAACCCAGAATTGCAATTTGGGGTGTTTTGAGACTTTTTAAATTAATAGATCCTATTACTCGTTTATTGTCGAACAGCATACATGTTATTTAACAACTTGGTTCTTCTAACACCAAATGGCATTTGATTCAGATCAAAGTTGTTTCAACCTTATCACATTCTATGTAAAGGCATGGCCATAGGAACCGGGGAGGGGGGCACGGGGGGGGGCGTGCCCCCAAATAGTTTTGCCGATATATAGATTACTATAGTAAAATTAGATACCAAATGCTTGTGCCCCCTCAATAAAAACGTCTGATGACTTTGTTTTTTGCTTGTCAAGAAATATTTGGTACTTGTTAGTGCCCCCTCAACTGGAAATGTATGGCTGTGCCCCCCCCCCCCCAAAGTGAAATTGCTTCCTACGGGCCTGAAAGGTACAGCAGGCCTACTGCGGAAAGAGCATCAGCTCTGTTAAAATCACATATACAGCAAGTTTGTTAGCAGATGACCAGAATTGGTAGACCATCTTTGTTTATTCAGTAAAATGGCACATAGAATACAGCACAACAGGTCCAGCACAATCTCTTGATTTAGCTATATAGCTTGATCTAGCTATGTAGCTTTATTAAGCTATTCAGAATAGCTTGATTTATCTATTTTATCACACTTTTTTCTTAAATATGTTATTTTCTCAGCATGCACAAGAAGTTGCACCTTGGTACAGTGAAAATATTCAACCTTGAACTCTTCTTAAAATAATGCATGTTAAAAAAAATCACTCATCAAATTGCATCTCCTTAAGAGACTTTGTACTCAAAGTTCTAAAAGTTTTGGGGCTATATAAAGCAATTAATACAGTTAGGCCAAGAAAAATGAAAGTCTTGTTTCCTGCTACCTGACTGACTCTATTTTTTTGCACCAGACTTTACATTTTTTTTTAGTTTTGGAAGAAAAAAATTAGGAATTTCTGGAGTTTAATCGTTCTGTCACTGTAAGAAATGCATTGCATTAACAGGCTTATTATGTTGAATGCGGGATGGTTCGCCCTGAAAAACCATTTACGCTGAGATGTTTTGCCCCTAGACGATTTGTGCCGAAGGTCAAGTAATGATTTCTTTCAATTAAATGCTAATTACCCCTTGTTTATAGTAATTATTAACTTTTTTGTGACTGTCTTACCATAATTGTATATTATTGTCTTCATGCCACACAGCACATTTTCTATATTTTTGGGTAGATATCTTGCATAATTTTATTATTTTTGTGAAGATATTTAATAGTGACATTACAGTACAATGATTAACATTTTATTCTATTTAACTATTCAAAACAAACGATAAACAACATATTTCAGACTTCAGAGTTTGGAAAGGAGAGGGGAGCAACAGAAATAATTGACGCATAGCCTGCATAAATGAACTATTCAAATCCTTGTTTATCTTTTTTTTTTTCGTTCTTTTTTCTTTCTTAAAGTTTTTAAAATCATGGAAAAAGACATGTATGTCAATAAGTACTACAAAATGAAAAAGAGAAGACACAGTTTTACTTTTATTTTAACATGTTTAAGGGTTTTTAATCATGTTAATAAAATTATATGAAGTGTAATAATGTCAATTTTTTTAAATTTGTATTTTCTGTCAGATAGACCAAAGTATCAAGGTTTTCCCATCCTCAGGTTCCAAAAAAATGTGATATGCAAAATAAATGAATAAAATAAGCTTGATAATTTTTATTTTTAAATTAATAAAGTCAATAAACTTTATATGTAAATATTCATAAACATCTTAACATATATAGATAATATAGATTATGTTGAATATGTTCGGCATGAAACATCTCAGCACAAAATGTCTTTAGGGATGAATGGTCTCAGCGCGAATCGTCAGTTGGGGCAAAAGGTCCAGTTACCATTATGTTCCTTCTTCTTTGACAATGTACAATAATAAAATTTTCATGTTTGTAAATAGTTAATCGCTTTATAAAGATGGTAAGTGATGTGGGGAAGAAATCAGTGCTTTAGTTAACTCTGATAGATGTAGAAATAAAATATTTTTACAAATATGATATGTAGATTTCTTTTTTTTTATTATTATTATTTTAATTGTGTATGTTTACACAAGTAATTAGATTTTAAGTTTTACTGTTTTCCTCCCAATTTTATTTGCTATTATAGTAGATTTATCACCCAGCAAACGTGGTGTTGGTAACAACATAGGTCTGAAAAACAATGTGTAATTTATAGATACTGCATGCATGTTATGTACATCATGTAAATTGTGTAAACAACACAATGATATATATATCAAATTCTTAAAATCTGCAATTATCATTTTCCTACTTTAACTAAATTTTTACTAATTAAACTCATTTAGCTTTGTTTTATAGCAGTTTTAATGATTTTAGCATATTTAACAGAGTAAAGCTGAGAAAATGGCCACTTTGGCAGAGCAGCCATGCTACACCCTGATCAACATCCCTTCAGATGCAGAGCCCCCTACTGAGCTACAGCTCAGACAGGATTTAGGTCAGAGTCTATACTTAATAATGTATGAAAAACAAATTCTGACAGAAAACCTCAAAGGAAGAAAAAAGTAAATATTACTGTTCAAAATATAAAAATTTGGAGAATATCCTGGTCTATTCATATGTATAGCAGCCTCAGATAGATTGTAAATAATTTTGAAATGTATATTATTTAAGGAACAAGGAGAACATGCAATAACCAAAAAATACACAATAACTAAAAACAAAGTTGCAATATAACTAAAAAAATTTTATATGTCTATATTATTATTTTTACTTTAGAAAAAGGGGACATAAAGACCAAGACAGAAGCACTGAAAAAGACAATCCAGCAGATATTGAATGGAGAGAAACTCCCTTCTTTGTTGATGGCCATCATTAGATTTGTTATGCCAATCCAGGATCACATGATCAAGAAATTATTGCTCATCTTCTGGGAGGTAGTCCCTAAATATACACCTGATGGCAAAATGTTACATGAGATGATTCTTGTCTGTGATGCCTACAGAAAGGTAAGTATATTTTGATTAACTTGGTTGTGTAATAATAAAAAATACTTTTGAAAAAAAGTGAAATAGTTTTTAATTGTAATGTCTTTAGATGTATTCATTATAGCTATTTGTTTAAAAAGAAATGTAAGTAATATGCATTTTTTATAGTTTATTGCATATGACACTATATAATGACATGTATGAATTAAATGATAACATTGATACATGGTTTTTATTCATGCACCATGTGCATACACTTGTATTGTAAATTAATGAAGTCTGCATTCAGAGTGAAATGTCTGCTCCTATCAACCAATGACATTCATACAAATTATACTCACAGTAACCTTACAATGAAAATTTCAATTGTACTGATTGTAGGATTTGCAGCATCCCAATGAGTTTATTCGTGGCTCCACCCTGAGGTTTCTGTGTAAGTTGAAGGAGGGGGAACTGTTAGAACCCCTAATGCCAGCCATCAGACAGTGTCTGGAGCATAGACACTCCTATGTCAGAAGAAACGCTGTACTGGCCATCTATACCATCTACAGGTATCAGGCTTCAAAACTAGGCAAAATTACTCAGTGCAAAGGATTTGCTTTATCTTTATGTCAGATTATTAAGAATATTTCTGAAAAATTTAAAGCTTTATATGACTTTATGGGACAGGAATCTTGCTAATGGCAAAGCTTACAGAATTTACATGTATTTCATCATAGATAACCTTATCCTAGTGGACATGAGTTTACAAGGCTTTAGTTTTATGTTGTTTACAGGAACCATGATTCCCTGATCCCAGATGCACCTGAATTGATTGCCAAGTTCTTGGAGGGAGAGCAGGATATGTCCTGTAAGAGAAATGCTTTCATGATGTTGATCCATGCAGATCAGGTGAGAAAGAATACCTGTGCTTCAACTCTAATGAACTGTTTCAGAGAAGAAAAAAATAGTTTCATGATGCCTGTTTCTTGGAATTGGTTAAAACAAAGATTTTATAACTTAAATACGTTGGACTGATTGTTTTGTAGGAGAGAGCCCTGAACTACCTGAGTAGCTGTATTGATCAGGTCAACTCCTTTGGGGACATTCTACAACTGGTTATTGTGGAGCTGATTTATAAAGCAAGTTATTTTTATTTGAGAAGCACTACTGAGTATAAACAATTTTATTGAAAATATTTGGACAAAGCAGCATGTATATTTCTCACTCATAAAAATGGTAAAATTATTTATTTGTTCCCAAGTTACCATAGATGTAAATTAAATTTTGATATAGGAAAAAACCCCTTTCAACATACGGTGTAATGAAAATGTTAATTTTTAAGTAATATTTATCTTTCAGGTTTGTCACAATAATCCCTCTGAGAGAGCTCGCTTTATCCGCTGTATTTATAACCTCCTTAACTCCCAGAGCCCTGCTGTCCGCTACGAGGCAGCTGGTACCCTAGTCACCTTGTCTAGTGCTCCTACTGCAGTTAAGGTAGACAACTTTCCTGTGAAACATTTAGATTTGACTTCAAAGTGGAAAATGCCTTATATCAGAATTTTGCTTACATATTGCAGGAAGTTGTACATTAATGTGTTGTTTCTTTTTCATCTTTATTCAGGCTGCTGCTAGTTGTTACATTGAACTGATCATCAAAGAAAGTGATAACAATGTCAAACTGATTGTATTGGATCGATTAATTGCACTGAAGGAGGTACCTGCCCATGAGAAAGTCTTGCAGGTACATGTGTATTCTCTGAATAAAAGGATTCTGTAACAAATCCATTGTAACCATACATGTAGATTTTTAAATTAATATGTAACTATGATTTAAAACATAAGTACATAATTTATGTTTATACTGTTTGATGTTAATTTGCATTAACTTTTGTAGGACCTTGTGATGGATATTTTGAGAGTCCTTAGTGCCCCAGATTTAGAAGTAAGGAAAAAGACCTTGACTCTGGCTCTTGACCTTGTGTCCTCAAGGAACATTGAAGAGGTAAGGTTTACAACAAAATTATTTTGTCTAAAAATTTTGTATTAGTGTTCTATGTTGAATTAAGTGTTTCATGAGAGTTAGAAGAAATGCACGTTTTGATAAATGTTGCCTTTGTAGATGGTCCTGGTGCTGAAAAAAGAAGTGGTGAAAACTAACAACGTAGAACATGAGGACACTGGGAAGTACCGACAGCTGTTGGTCAGAACCCTGCATCAGTGTAGCATTAAGTTCCAGGATATTGCTACCACCATTATCCCAGTGGTATGTTCTGCCTTAAAACTGAATGTAACAGTGAAATATTTTGAGATTAAAATCAGTCTTTGATTTATTTACTAAGTAAACTTATTGCAGAAAAAAGGAGGAAAAATTTAAGTTAACTTAAAATGTACTGCTTGAAATCTGAAAAAAAATGTGTTTATAATAACAAAGAGTTTGAGATTGGAAAGAATCAATAATTCACTTTCATTAGTTATTGCTAAAGGGGATGTATGTTAAAGGTACATGCAACTCTAAATACATCATAATGTGCAAAGAAGAAAAAGTGAAAAAAAATCATTTTTGTTCTTCTGTAACAGCTGATAGAGTTCTTAGGAGACCAGAACGAGCTTGCTGCTTTGGATGTGCTGGTCTTTGTCCGGGAGGCTATCCAGAGATTTGAGTCTTTGAGGGGACTGATCATCAGTAAGCTACAGGAAGTCTTCCCCTCCATCAAAGCCATGAAGTAAGTAGAATTGATCAAGTTTCACTGGCTTGTTACAGTATCCATACTATACTGGTCATCTTTGATGCAGGGTCTGATTATGAATATGTTTTGATTGTAATTTTTCTGCTTCAGGATTCACAGAGCTGCTTTGTGGATTTTGGGAGAGTACTGTGAAACTAATGAGGATATTCAGAATGTGATGACTATGATCAGACAAGCACTTGGGGAGGTAAGAGCAAGCTTATGTGATTGTATTTTCCATTCATAGCATTTATATTGTGCATACATGTATCCTGTACATTTGTTCATTGGTTGTAATTCAGGTAGCTAAAGTTTATATTAAAGTTTATCAGTTTTGCTGATGTTTTTGATGTACTGTATTATACATATACTTCAGTGTACTTATAAATGATATGCACAATGTATTTTATAGATTCCCATTGTGGATGATGAGATAAAGAAGGCAGCAGGAGAAGTAGAAGAAGATGGTTAGTTACACTTTGTTTACTTAGCTCTTTCTGGTCCTAGATTAACATACAGTCTTCTTCTTGTTCTGAATTCATTATGAACAAATCTTTAAAATATGTTGGTTTTTGATAAACAAGGTTTTGAGTAATTAAGTCTTAAGTTCTGAATTTTGATGGCAGAGATGCAGTCAGGGGGACAAGTTCAGAAGCTGGTCACAGCTGATGGAACATACGCCACGCAGAGTGCATTTAGCACTGCCTCATCCTCGGCAAAGAAGGAGGAGAGGTAGGGTTTACTGAATCATTTAACAAATATTTGACACTTTCTAATTCATTAAACATATGACATGAAGATCTGACATGTATGCAAGGTGGTTGATTCTGATAGAAGCATCCCATCGAAGTCACTGTGTCACTTAAAGTGACAGTACGGCGCATCTCATCAAAAAACTGACTAGATAAAATTATCCGACAAGATTTGGAATTTTTTTACTACTCATAAATGTATAAACTTTCAGAAAATTACAACTTTTACAATTAAATAATTTGGATTATTTCATTAAAATTAATTGTTATTTATGGGACGTAAATATATACATCGCAACGTGTTCGGGGTTCCACATTCCATGCTATGCACGCATGCGTAGTTTTCATAAACAAAACAGCATGGTTAGAGAGGGAATCCCGGTAGGCCTGCTACATTGACCAAGTCGACCAAAAAGAAAAAGAAACTGAAAATAGAACTTGAAAAAGCAACTTTCATGACTAAAATTTAGTTTGGGGATTAATAAAATCGCTGGATAAGGAAGAAACGGGAACTCGGCGACACTCACGCAGGGCTCTCGAAGGTTCTTTCGACAGGTTTGTTGATACTTGTTATCATTTCTCATTTTTCCGTCGCTTTCAAAGAAAAAAAATAGTGTAAACTCAACATTAAAAATACATCTTTGACTTATAAACATTGTTGCCATTTAAAATGCTAATTTTTTTTAACTGTGCAGAAAAATATTTTGTTTGACATTTGCCGCGATAACGTATGATTAGTTGGTTTTCCCTTTCTCGGACCCCAATACACAAAACGTAAACATTTGTACTTTTAATTCTGTTAAATTCGCCTGAATACAGACTAAAATCTTTACGATTATTATTTTAGATTATTTTATCAGAAAGTTATGATAATTTGTGTTTTTGAAAATTGCTTTCACCTAATATTCATTATAACTGTAAACTCTACAGTGTAGGCACGTGCCGTTTTAGAATTCACGTGGTACAAATAAACAGATCTAAGATTGCTCCGGTTCGTACGACCCTTGATTTTCCGGCAGATTCTAATTACGTTAATTTTGTTTGAGTAGAGAATATTTCTGTTTCTCAAACTGCTTACATCAACTTTATACCTTATTTCTTAATGACATATTGGGTAAATTTGGATGAAATAGCACACATTTTGCAGTCGTACTGTCGCTTTAATAAATTTTTGGTAAAGGCATTGTATCTTCAGTGCCTGTAGCAAGTGGATGACTTCTACACGTAGCATTTATCAATGATGAACAGACATACTACAGTAATACACTGTTACAGGAAACATGCTTGTATAATGAATTCACACTTGCAGTGAAGTGATTTTCATTCCCATGAGTTTTAAAACATAAACTTAATGGATATAACAAATTATATTTATATCAAAACAAAATTGCTCATCCCTGGCACTTCACTATAAGCGTTTTATACTGTATGTAAGAAGAGTTACCTTAAAATGTAAGTAGAGCACAGAAAGAGAATTTTGGCTCTGTTTTGATAAGCCTCAATGAGTGCAAAGTTGTCTAGCTCTTTAAATTTCAGTCATTGGAAGTATTTGACAAAATATTTTTATTGCAGACCACCAATGAGGCAGTACATGATGGACGGGGACTTCTTTGTGGGAGCTGCCCTGGCTACCACGTTGACAAAGCTGGCTCTGAAGTATATTAACAATACTCCAGACATGAAAAGGCAAAATGTGAGCTTAACACAAGACATGTTATATAAATGCTTTTAAAGTAGTATAGAATGGAAAATGGATGAATATTTTAATGTTTACTAGTGAAAGGTAATCTAAAGTTTTATAAGAAATCTAATATTTTATTTACAGTCCTTAGTGGCCGAATCTATGTTGATCATGGCAGCCATTATCCATCTTGGAAAGTCTGGATTGCCAGCAAAGGTGAGAATCCATGTATTGTTCACGTTAAGTATTGTTTTATAAGAAAAGATATTCATATAAAGTTAACAAGTTTATTGAATGTTTGGCTAACACAATGTAGACATGTATGATTGAATTTTCCTCTGTATAGTTTTATTCAGTGTAATATGCATTATATAACCCATGTGTCATATTTCTTCTAAATGTCATTATCCGTTGTTGTTTTAGCCAATAACTGATGATGATGTAGATAGAATTGCCACCTGTCTGAGAGTTCTGGCCGAGAGGACCCCACTAATGGGAGAGATCTTCAACGTAGACTGTAGACAGTCCCTCTCCATGATGCTGGCAGCCAAAATGGAGGAGGAAAAGGAATTACAGAAGGTCAGACTCTTTAACATTTCTTTCTTGCAGAATATTGAACAGATACATATTGTAAGGGTACAGATATGATGTTTTTTCATGTCTTACTTAAAGAGTTGCTTGTACTTCATGAAATATTTTTTTACTGTTTTCAGGCTTCTGAGAAGAGAGCTGTGAAAGTACAAGCTGATGATCCTATAATGTTTGCACAGCTCGTCAACAAGGCTGAGATGGGAGCAACTGAGGTATGACTTTCTGTAATATTAAGAGAGAATATTTCACATGACATTGAAAAAATGACATAGATAGGGAGGGAAAATAAATGAATTAGCATGTCTGCCTTATTTTTATCTCAATGGAAATGGAACAAGATTTTCCTATTTCAGAACATGTTTGAGCTCACCTTGTCCCAGGCTTTGGGAATGTCATCCAAGAAAGATGCTGATCCTATTGGAGCTTCTAAGTTGAACAAGGTAGGTAGCACATTTACAACTTGACATTTCTCAGATTGCAAGTACTCTTATTTAAAGCAGTGTTTTCTGTTTAGAGTCCATGCAATTATTTATAGCCTATGTTTGTTGAAAAAGTACCCCAATCCTAGAAAAGCTGCTGCTGTGTCCTTCAGAATAAATCAGTAATTGTTTCTTTTTTTCAGGTGTCTCAGTTGACTGGTTTCTCAGACCCAGTGTATGCCGAGGCCTACATCAACGTGAACCAGTTTGACATAGTACTAGACATACTGGTCGTTAACCAGACCTCTGACACGTTACAGAATCTGACTGTAGAGCTGGCAACTCTGGGTAAGTGTTACATTACAGAATCTGACCGTAGAGCTGGCAACTTTGGGTAAGTGTTACCTTACAGAATCTGAACGTATAGCTGGCAACTTTGGGTAAGTGTTGTATTGTTCAATCAGATTTGTAAGATTTGAGAGGAGAGTAGGTCAGACTACATAAAATATGGGAAGTTTAGCTTACATGAAGTAATCTAGAAATATTTGGACCTTGAAAAGGAACTTGTTTATGAATAAGAATCACTGTTTGAATTGTACTCTCATTACTAGGATAAATACTAATGAAAGAAAATTTTGATTTTAGGTGACCTGAAGTTGGTAGAAAAACCCACACCAATGACCATGGCACCCCATGATTTCTGTAATATTAAAGCAAATGTTAAAGTTGCTTCCACAGAAAATGGAATCATATTTGGAAATATTGGTATGTATGTTTAATTGTTGCACAGATTACATAAAAAAGTTTTGTGTTTTGAAATGATAAATATAAAAAAATTGTATACATATGATTGACACTTAAATCAAAACTTTGTATGGAATTGTTCATGTTGCAAAGCATTTCATTAGCTATACTACACACAGCTTTGATTTTATTATGGTACGTTGTATTTTCAAAATAAAATTAATTCACGTGTAGGTGGTCCTATTTATCTTTTGAAACAGTGAAAACAAAATAGCTGGAAACAAAAAAAATAAGGCCTCACACAAAGTAAGGTAATTAAACACGATAATGAATATGGAAATTAAAATTTCAGTGTACGATATCAGTGGAGCAGGAAGTGACCGTAATTGTGTGGTGCTGAACGACATCCACATCGACATCATGGATTACATCGTCCCTGCCTCCTGCGACGACACAGAATTCCGACAGATGTGGGCAGAGTTTGAGTGGGAGAACAAAGTGGCGGTCAATACCAATGTCTCAGATCTTGCCGAGTTCTTACAACACGTCATCAAGGTGACCAATATGAGGTGTCTCACTCCTGAAAAGGTATAAATGTCTTAACCTGCTTTTAAGATGGATATTTACAAAATATACTCCTTAAATTTCATTAATCTTCTGACAGGAAAAATAACTTTCACTGGGATTGATTTTTTTCCCCTGAAAAAAGTGTTAAGTTTAAGGACACACGCAACGTAGTTTGAACTTTATTGTCTTTTCCCCTGGAGTTGAAGAGTTCCAATACTTAAAGGAACCGTGTGATACATTTTAATGTCTATGTATGCTAATGCACACTTCTTCTAAAACAAGTTTGGATAAACAAAACATCTAGAATATATGTTTAGTAATTTTTGTATATTTTTCTTTAAAATATGCAAGAATTTTCATCAATTGATATCTTTTCAAAACCCCTGGTAATGCATGCTGATTTTTTGTCTACGAAAATCTGATTGCACTTTAATCTTAAATTAAGAATATCTTGAAAAATTATCAGCAGGTAAGGTACGTTGCGTATGTCCTTAAAAGAGGTGATTTCTGTCAAATTTTGTACTTAGGATATGCTGAAATGGTGCACATTTTAACTACATGTAGAATTAGATTTTTATTTTTGGAAAGTTATTATCATTAAAGCAAAAGTTTTTCATAAGTGAACAGAGAGAAGATGAAAATTAGTTTATCAGACCTGTTTACTCTTACGATTTCGCCGTATTTTCTACAAATTTTGAGTCCAAAATACGTCTCATGCTTTGCTATTATGAAAATACGGAAATCGGGAAGTCAGTTTGCAGTTAGTTTTCCTTATGATCTTTCTCAGTTTGATGCTTTTTAATCGCTGAAAAAAGAGAAAGATTTCAAACACTTAAGTGATGTCGGGTTGCTAAAACGCGGTTGTTTAAAAATGATAGAAACCTCTCAAAAGAAAGCAAAGTATGATGTTTTTCCTTGTTATTAAACCATGTTTTGGTATTCACAAGTAATATATGTAAAATCGATGGAAAGTGAAATCTTACGGGCAAATGCCAAATCTCACTGACAAATCTAATAAAAAATACTGAGAGACAACAATATGGGTAAACAGGTCTGGTTTATTCATTTGGGACTATAATTGACAGATTGTTGCTTTTACATTAAAAAAAATGAGATGATTTCATTTGTTTCCTAGATTTAAAATTTTGCAGTTTATCTCGTAAAAGCTACAGACACGATATTAGTTGAAAGTTGACATATTATTATTGTATTGAGAAGTGTTATTACATGTATACTGATTTGATGTTTGTCTTCTATTCAGGCATTACAAGGGGACTGTGGATTTATGGCTGCTAACTTGTATGCCAAGTCCATCTTTGGAGAGAATGTGCTGGCAAATCTTAGCATTGAGAAGCCTGCCCACCTGTCTAGAGATGCTCCAGTTCAAGGTCACATCCGAATCAGGGCAAAGAGTCAGGTAAACAAAGTGATTTCTTACTGATAGAGTGTAAATTGTATATTGGTAAAACATTATCAAAAATATGGTCAGTAATGTAGGTCCCCTATTTTGGAAGCCCACTGTTGTTTAAACTTTCTCACTCCATCATGTTGAGAGCCAATGAGAGGAAAGAAATGTAATCACCCTTGGGTTTCCAACAATGTAGGTCCACACATTTCCCATCATCTTGATCTTTTGGCAAGGGAGTAAGATTATAAGGGGCAACATCGCATGAACGAGAGGACAAAAGTGCAAGTGAGCAAAAATGTGGGAGTAAGTGTGCAAGAGCAACAAAGCAAGAATGACAATGAGAGAGAGCTAGAAAGGGTGATGAAAATGACTGTGCAAGTTTTAGTCACACCCATGCCTTATGTGGTCTCCCTTATATTGCCCTTGCTTCTTAGCTTTGTCTCCCTTGCTTTCTCTCTATTGATTTCCACTTGCCCCAAGGAAGAGAGAACAGGGCACCAGCACTTGTTTTTAACATCAAATGAGAAATTCAGAGATTCTTTTTTGCCTCTTTTTCAGGGCATGGCTTTGAGTATGGGAGACAAGATTAATCTGTCCCAGAAGAGCATTGCTAAAACCCAATAGGAGGAGGATATGTCTATTGAAGATGACATTATGAAGTTGTCTTGCTTTGAATAAAATAATTAATGTTATAAAAATATGTTAAGCTTTTACGATTTATGTGTATGTGAATAATTTATGAAAAAGCTAAACTTTATAAATGTATCAGTTTTGATTCATGTACATGTATTCGTTATCTTTTTATTGCTTGAAAGCTAAACGTTGAAACATGATCATGTTTTTTTTATATGCTTATGGGATTGATTCTTGTAAGGCTAAAGCAAGGATGTAAATGGAATTCTCTATTATTTGAGAGTAAAAGTGAAGCACTTCAGTGCAAATTCTGATCTATGTTTTGTGGTAGATGAAACCATCCTCTTCAAAGATGCTTTTCTCATTAAAACCTAGTTTTATCAGCAATATATGTTGTCATTGGTTTATGAATTTTCATTATGAGCTTTGAATTTCAAGGCATAATTATGTGTGAGGAAAAGTTGTGCAAGATTGTTCATATGTGCATGGGAAAAGATAAACAGGTAACTACAAATGTACAAGTAACACATTAGTGATTCTATTGTGGCACATACAAAATCTATAACAGCTAACACATATCGTGCATTTAACTGGGAGTCTGGTGGACTGATTATGAAAATATTTCAGATACTTGAATAGTATAAAAACATTTCAATTTTGTTCATTTCATGTACTGAATATGAACAGAAAAATTGCCATTTTCACCTTGCATCACTGTAAGAAGGATAAAGTGAATATTCAGTATTTTTGACGTTTTTTGAACACTGGATTGCACATCTTCAATTAAAGAACTTTGGAAACTATTATTTTATATACTCAAACCAACATTCTCCTTTTTATTTAGGGTTTATTTGATCATTTGACATTTGTTTATTAATTATTTATTTGTCTGTTCACTTTGTATTACAAGTAAATACGTCCTATATGGAGTTGCATGTCATCAGTCAACCTGTACACGCATTCAAAATTTTATAATTTTCCGCAAATCACCATTTAAAATTATTAGAATGAACATTCAGGTATGGTAGTGGTACATAGGATACTGGCAGAGATTTTTGCATTTCAGGGAGGTAGTATCGTTTTGAAAAAAAAGGGGGGGGGGGCAGATAAAATTAAGTAGATTGTCTGATAAAATCTTTGACGAGATATCTCTCCAAATTCGGAAAACCTAATTCATGGGGGGAGGGGGGGTGCATGAAATGAAAATTTCCATACTAAACAGCAAAAATCGTACTTTTCTCAGAAAAAAGAAAACAGTTACCCCCTCTCCGATACTAATTGCCCACATTTAACAAAAACATCATTACAATTTCTACGACACCTGTTAACACTTTGATAAAAATTTACCCCCCCCCCCCAAAAAAAAAACCGCACAATATTTCTTTTGCAATGTTCTGCATCACTAACAGCATGAACATGTAAATGACAACATAATTGAGACTTGTAGACAAAAGGAATATGCATGTAGTCTTACGGAAAAGATATAGACAGCTTTTCATATTAATCACGGAGTTAATCAAAATGCACAAGCGCAGATCACTGAAATTTTTCCGGGTGGGGGTGTCCACAGGAACTCCACACCTACGAAAAAAGAAAAAAATCTGACTATTTTTTGTAAGAAAGCCATTATAATTTAACTTTCATCAAATTTTGTACTTTTGTACTTTTAAGCAAATTGTAACAATGGATCCTTACTGAAAATGTGAAATCCTTGATTTTTTTTTTATCCTGGGTATCAGACTCCAGGATTTTATATGGTTTTATAAAAATTAATAATACTTATATTCATTTCAATTTATCCATTTACAGTTTATTTCAGCTTTATTCTTTTAAACATCTAGGGACAGAACAATGTAACATTAAATTAAAGCATTATATTGAATAAGCAACCTCTGAGAGCGATGTTAAAGCGCATTTAATGCAGAAAAGTCATCATCTAAATTCATTCATTGTTCTTATGAGTTTCTGTTTGAAGTAACTTATAACTTGCGAAAGTCTCGCACTATAACGCAAAAGTTTCATGTTTATTCAAGAAAGTTTCGCGTTGATTTGCAAAGATACGCGTTTATAATAGTGAAAGTTCTGCGTTTATTGGAGAAAGTTTCGTGATTATTCACAAAAGTTTTGCATTATATCGCAAAAGTTACCCTTTTATTGGCGAAAGTTTCGCGCCTATTCGAGGAAAGTTTCAAAGTTTTGCATTACAATGCGAAAAATATGTAAAAGAGGGCGCTTTCCTGCATATAGGAAGTGAGGATGGGGGGTTAGGTCCCCTCTAGATCCACGCATGATTCATGTTTTTTGTGTAATTTCAGGCCCGCGTGGGGGTGGGGGCATATAAAATTACTAATCTACGTTTGTACGTACCCCTTAATAATAAGGTCTGCACGACGATCTTTCTTTAAAAAAAAAGGAATTTCTGTTTGATTTTGGCCCTCCCCCTTTAAAGAAAAAAATGATTTGATTTATACGGGCCTGAATGTACTGATCATTTAAAATTTGAATGTTTACTTTAAGATGAATAAGTGTCCGTGACTTATTTAATGCATGTTCCATGCAGTTTTGAAAAGATTTGTGCATTGCATATAATACAGTCCTGATGTACTGGGATATGACTGTTTCCAGCCTCTTATTTAATCTTGGTAACAGCTGGGGGATTGACATTCGATGGTGCATTACATATACACATATTGATCGTGTCTCGTTACAAGTTTTTGTCAATAACCCCATGTTTTGAAGAAGACGATATAACTAGGGTAAGAGTTTTAAAGTTTTTTTTTATTTCTTTTTTAAAAAAGTAAATTAACCCGAATTTTTAAAATAAATTTTAAGAATTAACAACAAGATAAGAGGGAGTTCAATGTCACTCCACAACACATTGTTGTTGGTCTACCCTGCTGTTCCTCTATAGCTGATCGACTCAATTTTAGCTCGCCTAGCTTTCTTCAGATGGAAGTTTCCGGGGATTGGGGGGGGGGGGGGTTGGGTTGGTGGGGTGGCGTGGGAAACTGCGTATCACCATGGAAAAAAAACTCAAGGGAAGCAAGGGTGTAAAGATTGACCTATTGGGATTTTGCTACGTTGGATTTATAATAAACTATATTTTGCCATCCTATCAGAACTATCTATCTTAAACAATAAATATTAGTAAATAAATAATAAAATTATTTTTTTAAAAAAATTATTCTTTGCAATGCTATCTATCTTTCAAATTAAAGTCTTAACTTCTCTTTATCTTTTCCTTTTTTTTCTTTTTACCTTACCTTAGTACCTCTCGTGTATATCTTGCACAAATAATCGATTTCTTATGCATACCATGAGACAGCTGGGCCGAATCCGCAATCTCTGTATAGAATCTTTTGTCGCCTTTAATTTTGTGTGGAGACAAAATAAACATCAATCAAAATCTTCCTATGATTTTGCGCACATATGCTATCATTGAATGAAAAACAAAATTACCTGCATAATAAAGTTTGTGTATGTCTTCCTTACGTCTCTGTTGCCTTTGTTTAAGATGCAGTAAATCTTGCTCATATTTTTATCGCGTGCCATGTTGTTTTATTAATATATGAAGGGAAAAGAAATCAAAAGTGGACACGGCGTTTGATATTATATTTTTTGTTTAAAAGTGTACTTCGATGGACTAGGAATTGATGCTACTCGAATGTCAACATCTTTTCAAATATGGCACTTAGAAGTGTCATAACGGCCATTGTGCTTTCCCTCACTGTCCGCCCAGTGCGTGCTGACCATTGTGACGTCATAGATACGTTGGACAATCAGTGGGTGAACGTTAATAATCTGAAGAATGACCACAACCCCAGATATCTATCAGAGGCTCAAGTCAGCAGCAAAGAGGAATGCCAACAAGCTTGTTGTCAGACAGGTGAGAAATTAATAAAGAACGAAAAAAAAAATACATAAAATACGCATGAATCATTCTTTTTTTTTTTTTTTCATTATTTGCATTAAATAGAGCAAATGAACTTTTTTTCATTGATTATTTATACTAAACATTCAAATATCTTATTACTGCATAAGTTAATATTATAGTCTTAATTACACTCATCCTTATTTTTTTTTCCAGTAAAATGTTCTGTGGGGATTTTTGACACTGAAGACAACCAGTCCAAAGTAAACTGTTTTCTTCTTGAGTGTACGTCAGAACTCGAGTGTGTTTTTGAAAATAAAGATGGTATGGTGACTTTTATTGTTGATAAAAACCATGATGGACCAATGAAAGATGGGACAAAGTCGACCACAAATGCACCACCATCTGAATCCAGCACTCCAGGAAAACTAACAAATTCCGCATCAACTCTAACGACAAGAACTACACCGAAGAATTCAACAACTGTTAAAAGCACTACTCAATTAGTAAAGGGAACAGGGACACCGACGAAGGCGCCGTTGATAACTGACGTTCCTCCTGTTATAATAACTAAAAATGCAACAAAACCGTCAGCAACAACAACACGGACAGCAACAACTCCAGCTCCACCACCTCCAAATACAACAAAAACTATCATGGTTTCGTCGACGTCAGTTTTGGAGACCACAACAAACAAGACAACAATTGGTACAAAGCTCAAAACAACAACTGCCAAAGCTTCCGTGTCAGCTGCAAAGTCTTTTGGCGATCAGAATGCAACATCTGTCATTTCACTAGGTCCATTCACTACAACGTCTGCTTCTATAACAAACAACACCATAAGGAATTCTAATAATGAAGCTGAGAATATGGAACCTGATAAAAATAATATAACAAGTGATGAATTGACAAACAAGGAAATAAGTCAACTTCTCAACATAACACTACCCGGACTTCAAGTCAATGAATCCCTAGTAAATTCAACAACAATTCCACAAATTAAACCTCCGCCAATTTCAACACAGTCATTTGTTCCTTTGAGTTCATCGTCGTTGTCATCTTCATCAACATCATCATCAACAACCACATCTTCATCGCCATCCTCATCTTCCAAATCTTTATCTACTACACAACAGAACAAATCATCTGTTGTCACTACAATAGCACCGGATATCATTGAATCGTCCAATGTCACAAAAATAACAACAACAACGACAAAAGCGGCAATATTGACAAATATTTCAGAAATAGATCACACGAATTCTTCCACAGAAACAAGTGACCTGAATGCAAACAAAACGATGGAGCTTAAAACAATGACACAAGGTGAATATTTTTTTAATTCAAATCTATATGCAGTAGTTCCAATTTTTATAGTTTTTTGAGAAAATTTCTAAGTAAAATACGTTAAAGAACCATATGTCAGACGCTGTTAAAGAATTTGCTTTTATAACATTTGATTTAGTAACTTATTTATTGATAAAGATGTTACTTTCGTTTCAGAGGAAGACAAAAATGTCACCAATGGTCGTCTTGAGAACAAAATTAATCAAATGGAACCGTCTTCTGCAGTATTAGGGGGCTTGATAGCATTGTTGTGTTTTGGAATATTTTTTATCATAGCTATAATGGTTATTTTTGGCAAAAAATTGTTCGAATCCTGGCAACGCCGACATTACTCTCGCATTGATTATCTCGTAAATGGAATGTATAACTAAACCCAACTTTTGTTTCTTAACAGTAGAAATAAATGATTATCATCGAAAGTTTTTTTATCATTACAAACGCATGCTTAATTTTAACAGAGCAAAGTATCTTCTTCAAGAGAAAGATTTCTCAAATTTGATTTAATTTCTGAATCTTGCGGAGAGACGACATGCATGAAAATAAAAAGGGTTACCCCCTTCCGGTTTTATTGACAAAATCAAAGATCACAATTGTGAAATCAGGTAGAGATTAATTAATAATATAGTTTTTAATAAGTACTTGTACTAGTTCATTCTATTGAAACAACTTAATTTACAGAAATCATTTGAAAAGCTTTCCAGAATTTACATAAATATGCATGTATCAAATTGAATATACATGTAAAATGCTCAGGTGAGCACGTGGCCTTGCGAGCCTCCTATGTTATTATTTCATATAATAAATTCATCTCCAGTCTGAAAGTAAAAAAAAAAAAAAATGAAAATAATGAAGCATAATTTTTGTTTAAAAAGAGCTTTGGAAGGAAAATTTTGGTCTTTAAAAAGTATTCCTCACCACATTTGACCCCTCCTATATGGAAAAGATCATTCGGGAATCTTATTCCATATGTTCAGGGCACTCTAATCATGTTCTAATAGCTGATTCTGTAGAAAAGTTTTTTTTTACCCCGATTGTCCCTTAGGGTGAAAATGAAAATTAATTCCTGAACGTCATTGCACATTGCACGCCACTGTCATATTCCAGAAGAAGTTGAAGTGGCGGGTGCTTAAATCTTAAGAGGAGTTTGGGGAAGAAGATTTTTAGAAACAAAGCAGCTTTTTGCGACTTCAATTTGGCCCCCTGGATGAAAACAAAAGTTTTAAAGCCTTGTGCACATCAGCAGGAAACCACCTACTGTATTATATTCCAAAAGATGAATCAACAACTGCTTAATATGTAAAGGTAGTTTGCGGAAGATTTTAAAAAATAAATCTCCATTGGTCCCCAAAGTGAAAATAAGAATTCCCAACCCTTATTGCATATCTACTGGATACCATGTATAATATTTCACAAGATGAATTGGCTACTGCTTTAATGTAAGAGGAGTTTGAAGAAGATTTTGTAGAAAACGTCGCTTTTCGAGTTCCCCCAAATGATCAATAGGGTGAAAATGAATATTTCCAAACCTTATTGCATATCTGTAAGACATCACCTATTACTAGATATTTAAAAAGACAAATTTGCTACTGCTTAAAATATAAGAGGAGTTTGAAGAAGAAGATAAAAGTATTATTCCCAAACTCTCTTTAGAAAGTGCGCGTATATATATACATGTATATTTGCAATATCATAACATACAAATAAATTATGTTACTTTAAGTAGTTGACTGTGAATATCCTAAAAAGACGAGTGTTATTTAATTTTACAGCCATTGTTGCAAGTGTTGTTATTCCGATACTTTCTACGGGATATAATTTGGTTCTACCTTTCTCTTCAAACTCCTTTTATATTTTATGCAGTAGCCGATCTTCCTTGTGGAATATGATAAATAGTGTGGTGAGGATGTGCAAGGTTTTGGAATTCATTTTCACCCTGAGGGCCAATTTGAGGTCAAAATCAACGGGATTTTTCCCTACGAAACTCCATGTTTTTTCCCCTAATTTTTATAGTATTAAATCATCTTTTGGAGCATTATTGGTGGATTCTGTACAGGTGCAATAAGGTTGCAAAATTTTCACTTTCTCCCTAGGGCCCGTTTGGGGACCAAACACGATATTTTGCTCCGAAAAAAAACTTGTTCCCTGAAATTCTCTTACATTTTACACAGTAGCCAAATATCTTTTTAGGATATGATTTGAGATGTTCAGTAAGGTTCAAAATTTTCAATTTTCACCCTAATGGCCAATTGGAGATGTAAAGTTCAAGCAGTTTCTTTCTTCCTTTTTTTGAAAAAAGGAACCTCTATTCCAAACCTCCTCTTCTAACGTAAAAGGTGAAGATAACGAATAGTGATCAATCTGATAAATCCAGAAGTAAAACGAATCGCCAACAGGGCAAAAACACGGACACCGGAAATATCAGAGCTGGGATCAAATTTCAAGAAGTTACTAATCATCCCCTGTTCACCAGCACACCCGCCGTGAGCCCCATGTACTGATCAGTTAGACGGAGTACGTTGTTATCAAACTCAGTATAAATAAAATGGTATGAAACAATACGACCAAACGGTAGGTTTTATTTATAAACAAGGTCATTATAACGACCGTAGAATTTGCAAGAAGCTTACTTTAAATAGGTTTGTTGAAATCCTTGTAACATTAACTTATTTGTCAGTAGCTTGCCACGGTTTAAAAATTGATCGTATTCAGAGCATGCTCTTGCTTATCGAATTAGTTAGGAGACATAAACACCATGTGCAGGTTATGTTGGAATATTGCTACATAAATAAGGGAAGATGACAGTATATATATATATATATATATATATATATATATATATATATATATATATATATATATATATATATATATATATATATATATATATATATATATATATATATATATATAATATATATATATATATATATATATATATCTATATATATCTATATATATCTATATATATATATATATATATATATATATATATATATATATATATATATATATATATATATGGTGAGTTTAAAATCGGTTAATAAAAGGAGCACAGTAAATGGCCATGAAAATTACTCCAAAACTACATAGATATTGTCAATAAGGAACTCCAGCATCTGTTTAATATCAGCTTCAGAGTACGTGTATGTAGATTTAGAATGATATTCAACAAAGTAATTTTGTAGATGGGCAATTACAAGATACGAAAATTTACGAGTTCCATTTATATTGAAGAAGCATTTGTCTATGATGTCAAAAAGCTTGCGCTTTAATTTAGCGCGAGGAATGGTTGTAAAAAGCGTAGACAAGTCATATGTTTTGATGCTATTAATTTTTCAAAAGTTTTGAAATTTTAAATTTTTTAGAAGTTATTTTGAGGGATTTTTTTTAAGAATCCACATTTGATTTACACGATTTCTTGAATTTTTTTTTTTTTTTTTTTTTGCACAATAGGTCTGAAGTTTATCTTTTGCCGAGGCTTAAGGATAGGGTCTTGGTTTAAAATTTACTTGACTCTGCAGTATGTCTTTCTTTGTTAGGATTTTCATGAATTAATTTTAAAATCCAGAATAGTTACGGTAAATCAAACCACTTACATGGAGTGGAATGTTAAATGTATTTAAAACAGAATTTATAATTCATTAGAGTATTTAATTTCAGACTAGTAATGAATTTATGACACGGAATATTTATATAAGAGGTCCATTCGCCACATGCTCTTGCATCTTTTGCTAAATTTTCCTTTGACTAATTTTTTTTTATACATGTATATTTATTTAATTAGTATGTAAATTACAGAATAACTATCGTTGCTTCTTCACTAGTCACCAAGGTACGGAAGAGTACATCTAGAGACCTTATGCTCGTGTAATTATGAAAGTATTTGTTGATTTAACTGCTCAGTACAGACGGACATTCTAACAACAAATTATTTGTTAGTGTTTAGTGGATGAGGTTAAATTAGTAAGCCATTTTACGACTCCGAACTTTCGACCCATGCATTTAATTGCCAAAAGTAGATATTAAATATGATCAAAATCAGAAAAATGTGCAGTTTATCTCAATTCTCCAGGAGAGTAATGAATTTGTATGCGTATAGTGGAAAGGTCAAAGTTTCTTAAAAGGTCACAATGATAAAATTACAGGTTTACCTTCATTAAATGAAAACGATCTCCTCTTGACCGTTTTACATGTATTTAAGCATGTATAATGACGTCATTCACTAAAATTGTACTCATAAATATTTTGCATAATTTTGTACAGTCTTTCAGTTACATGTATTTAATTTTTTGTTATTGTTATCTACTGTAAACCAACAATAATTCGAGAGCCAGGAAATGTTCAATTTGATTTGTGCCTTACCCATGTTTGCGAATATTTGTCGACGTGAACCAATCTCTCATTATGGAAAGTTAATGATAAACTGAAAAAGCTCATTCATTAATAAATAATACATGGACTCAACACGAACGGGTTTTCCTTGTCTTTGATATAAAAAGGATGTCGCAAACAATTTTCGACTTAAGTTACTATTTTCTGAGCAAAGGAAAGCTACATTGAGGGATTATAATTCATTGTTTCGTCTCAGATGGGATTTGAGGGCATCGTATCCTCAATGTAATAAGTTGGATACTCCCAAAATGCACTTCTTTGCCTTTCTTGTTATAAATTCTTGTGTTTCTTGTCCCAAAACAACTGCAAGAATATAGAAAAAAAGTAATTTAAATGAAGAAAATTGGGAGAAAAAGATTTTTAATATTCTAAACACAGAAAGACATACGTAGTGTAATTTTCCTTTCAAGCTCTGATCCTATTATGAAAAGAGCCCTGTAGGTGTCTTTGCCATATGGCAAATTGACATAATGACATTAGTCTGTCATTTTCAACCTAAATTCTCAAATTAATGGTAAATGGATGAGTCTGACCTTATCGTTATTATCTCTATTATGTGCAAACACCTGTATATATATTAGAATTCAGTTGAAACTTTCAGTTCTATCAATACACTGTCTCTAAGGACTTTAAAAATCAAAGTATGAAAATGTTTATTACCATCACGTGGGTAGCTGTTTATGTTGCAGTGTTCCATATTGGAAGCAGTCATTGTGTAAGTTTTTTTTTAAACTTCTATTAATCAATTCTGCCAATATGAATAATCACATTTCTACTATAAATACGTTTCTACTAATACTTTTATGTCAACAAGTGATCTATTGTTTTGGTCTGAGTCCGTCATTCATGAACTTTTCATATTTTTCACATCCATAGAACCACTGTGCCAATTTTAAACGAACTTCCTTAAAAGCAGTAGAAATATACAGGTTTCTTTTGAAATGCTTATTAGCTACACTCTGTACGAGGCTGCAGATTGTGAAATTTATAATAGTAAGACATTCTTACGTAGTTTACATTTACAGTCATTCAATGACCCCAAGGCCATTATGGAACCACAAAAAGGGTCCCAGGTCTTAAAGAAATATATTGGAAAAATAACATTCATCTAACAATCCTCTCTGTGTTTGTTTGTTTGTATGTTTAACGTCCCTCTCGAGAATTTTTCACTCCTATGGAGACGCCACCATTTGCCGGTGGAGAGCTGCAAATTTTGTCCTATACTCGGCAATTACGGACATTGAGCAGTGAGGGATCTTTTTCGTGCCAGCACCCACTGCGACACGGGACCTCGGTTTATACGGTCTCATCCGAAGGACCGGTCTCCACGTCCCACAGTGGGATTCGAGCCCGCGACGTAAGGATCAACTCCTTACTTCGCGACTCTAGAGCCGACGCTCTAACCACTGCGCCACGCGGGCGACTAACAGTCTTCTGTAAACGGTGTTGTAATTTACCAAATTATTTAAGGCAAATCCTTCTTAATGAGTGCAAACTCAAAGTATTCAAACATGACCGAAAGGACCAGGGCGAAACCACAAAAAGGGTCTCGTAAGTAAAATTTAGAAATACATGTATGTTCAACAATTTGTCATTATTTTTTTCTCAAGGCTGAAATTTCTTTGTAAGCGTCCTAATGAAGTGTTTTAGAATTTTTTTTAAATATAAATCTTCCTGATCTTTGGATCCCTCTGGGGACCTACACTGACATCAAGACAATGTTTTAAAAAAAAAAAATCTTATTTAATTTTCACAAGAACGTCAGAGCTACACATTATCAAATTGAATGTCAGATTTCTAGTACAAGACTATTCAGTAGCCCCCACGACAGGGATTGGGTCACAAATTAAGTATAACAAATATAAACTGTTTTTTTTTTTTCAGAAACTTAAAAAAAATCATTTAACTTACTTTTGAATGACATGAACAGTTTGCACAAGCTTCATAAAACACTAATTATCAGGTTTTCCAAATAAAATATTAGTTTGATCCGTTGAGTTTACAAGTTTGCAATTCTCAATCTTTATTTTGCTATCATTAGTCACTATTATAACATATTGTAATTTTACTTTTCTGTCCCAAGCAAAATTCACAAATGAAAAAAATGAAATAACGTGTTCAAAAAAAAACCGCTGATTCATTATTGTATTCCCTTAATTACAGGCTGTCAAGGTGTTGAGAGACCTTGGAAAGATGAAGATACAACCTCTGTATATGAACGTTTCAATCGACGAGGCCCAGCAATTTTCTACCTACTACGGACGATTTCGCGGTCCCTCTGATTCTGTATATGGTCCTGTCTATGATTTCTGTGAGGACGATTTACAGTTGTTGAAATTTGCGAAAGGTACTGTATAATCTGTATAGCTTTTCGTCACGCGTAATATATATAATAATTCATATATTCAACAATACTTAAGCAAATTTAAAAAAAAAAAATTAAAACCCCTAACTTTCTAAACCAAAATACCGGGACTACTTCTTTATATATCGTAACTTCTAATTATCGACAGATCCCCCACCCCTCCCCACCACCCGGTTAAATCTTAGCAAGCATCACTTCCTAAGTAACTTACTTGTTTGTTATAAATATGCAACAAGTATGAAGCAATTTTGCAAGCAAACGTTTTATCATACTGATGAGGCTTGTTGCAAGTCTGCTGTCAATATATGGAAATGCCAACAACATGTATTGCTCATCCGTGCAAATGTGCAAATGATGCTTCTAGCGTGCTGCAAACAATTAAGTAATTGGGATTTTTTCTATAGAAAAAACACCTTTGATATATTAATGACTCACTTTGCATACATTTGAAGCTATAATGTGATCTGATGCAAATTTCTTCAGTATTAGTCGTTTATTATGTGCTCCTAGACCAGTACTACTCTCGCATGGAATACAATGTAAACAGTTGTTTTATTCTATAACATGTTAGTAATACAAAGCGAAGACATTCCACATGACGGTATGGTAGAAAAGGTAAAAAAAAAAAAAAAACGAACGGTGATCGTTCTCATAAATCTTTTGAAACAATACATATTGTTTTGTTTTACTATAATTAACAATTTTAATTTGCCAATTAGTATACATGCCTAATTGTTAATTAATAAAAGACAATGTGAAGCGGGGCAAAAATTATGGGCCCCTGGAATCACCAGATGTGGGATTAGGTGCATAGGAGGAGTATACATCCCACGTCCACCGGTCAAGCCCGCTGTAAACCCTATGTATTTAGCGATAAAAAGAATAATGCACAGTCTAAATTAGTATAAAAACAATGGTCTAGCAATTGGTGTGAAACATGTCAGTCAAAATGAAATAGGTAAAGATATCGTATAGTAATCGATCTAAAATAAAAACCTAAAACAATACAAATCTGTGAATAGAGTATAAAACACGGAGCCCCTGGGAATTCCAGAGATGGGATCTGGTGCCTAGGAAGAGAAGGCATCCCTGTCGACCGGTCACACCCGCCGTGAGCCCGTCGCAACGATAGGTTGCATTTGCATAAGATGTCAATAGAACGACCATAGAAATGCTAACGTTTAAACGGGATTGAAAAGCCCTGTATTTAAAAAATCATAATTGGATAAAACCTATATGATTTATACAATAACAAAAATTTAGTTAGAGTATTTCAGATGTTTTTATAATTAAGTAAGGTTCCCAATTTTATAACGTACAGAATCGCCATAACTTGGGTGATATACCATATAATATAAAAGAGTTAGGCTCATCTAATCTGGTAAGTATTTCATCTCTCAAATTTAAGAATCGTATGATTCTAGAATTAATTTCTTTTTTAGTGTCTGATTCAGGAACCTTTTCGGAGTTCGAAGTCATCATGCGATTACAAGTTTATGGCGGGACTTGTTGGTTCTCCATTAAGTCAGCATCTGCATCAGAAACATACACACTTTTCTTATACCCTAGCCATACCTTCGTATTAGAAAAAAAATTAAGCCTACAAAATAGAACACAGACCGAATTTATGGAATCCAGTTGCAAGATTGAGGTAACTAGTTCAAATACAGATGAAGTCACCATTCGGTACACAGCTGCTGTTCATGATTGCGGCCAAGAAACTGAAGTTCTAAATTCGAAGTACTTTGATATATTGATAAATAAAAATGGCAAGACTAAAGAAATTTCTGGATTGTATAATGAAGCTGGCAGAAATTATTTCAATTATGTATCTACTTCCGAAAAGTTTGCATTTGCATCTGAGAATTCCTATGCAATATTTAACGAGGGCAACATGGCCGCCGATGGTGTTAAAATTGACGGCTTTAATTTTACGATGATGATTCACGATTTCCCTAAGGCAGATTATTATCCCGTCTCTGTGACTCGTATCTGGACTTTCACTATCATTTAACAGAAATGGGCATATAAAAAGTTACAAAAGTTCATTCTTAAAATATGAAATAAAGATTTTTTTTGAAAATCTTAAATTCTTTTGTGTTATTTATTTCGGTAAGTCTCAGTTTTAGAAGTATCAATATAAGGGTGTGAACCTTTCCTCTGAATTCTGAATTTTTCATCCTGGTCTGATTTCATTGCTTAAATGTACACAAAACTTTGTAAATCTTTGTAAATGGTTAACACAATGGACTTTTTTAAAACGATGTTTAATTGTGTAGTGTAATAAGAGAGAATTACTTGGATATTTGGACGTTGAAGGAAATGTATGCTAATGAGAATTTCACCTTATTACAAAGGAATCTTAGTACATTTACTTATGTTAATATAAAGCATTCAAGAGTTTGCCAATTCCCATTGTCTTTTTCGCCCAGTCAATTTAAAATGTCGCCAATTTGGCGATTTATAGAGAAATTCTGGGCGCCAATCAAATTTTTTAGGCGCTCTGGTGACTAAATTAATCCCTATTTAGAGCCCTGCTAAGTAGTAACAGTATATTTTCAAGGGTGGGGCGGCTTCTTAAATACAAATTCTGAATGACATTGTATTGTGGATTTTTATCTTGTGAAGATGGTGAAGAAAAGGTATTGACGACATTGCTAGAAGACATGACTCAAGATTCGAAAGGTTGAAGTGTGCGAATATATGTGCTTTGTCTTTTTTATGTCTTGTCATGTCTGAAACCCTTTAGACACTCATTTCTAAAATTTATGTTGTAATAAGCATGTACATTCACGGTTATGGAAAGTGGGCACAATTGCTTTAATTTAGTTATGTAACTTTTTATATTTTTTGTTTAATTTTAATATTTCCTTAAGTTCAATTTCTATTCAACTTAAGTAATAGATTATATTCATTGGAAATGAAATACTTTTAACTTGGAGTTAATGGATCACATGACCTATTTATAAGTACTTAAGAGCTACTTCCTTTTAAAGGATGATTTTTTTCGCTTTCTTAATCAACTAGAGGGATTTTGTTAAAATATTTTGTTCCGTGAATTTACACGGAATAACCGATTTATGAAGAGCATAAACACTGAGGTGTTTTTTGGTGGTTCACCTAATTTATTTTTAATTGGAATTTGATTTTCAAGCAAGAAAGCCACCTTTGAAACACTTTTGGGAGCAGATATGATAAGAAACAACATAAAGGCTTGAACTGTTTCTGTATTGTTTAATAGAAAATGAATCCTCACCTCAATCTAACAGAGCAAAACCGACTTAAGTTGTGGGATAATATCAGATTTGATTCCTTTCTCCCGTGCACGGTTTACCTGTTCGTATCTTTAACTGTGGGAGTTCCCGGGAATATTATCGTGTTATATGTCTACGGATTCCGTCTACGAGGTAGACACAATGGTCGTTATTTCATTCCATATCTAGCTGTGGCGGATCTACTGGCTCTGATATTATCAGTGGCGTTACATGCCATGTCTAACTTCTTCCCTGTTACATTCAAATATAATGAACTGTGTAGCTGGAGTTTCACATTGGCATTTTTAACAACCATTCTCTCCGCTTTCATTCTTTTGATAATCTCGGTACAACGATACCTGAAAGTATGCAAACCATTTGGTGGACAGATGACTCTGTTTTGGAGGCGCATGTCTTTGTTGCTTTCATTAATTTTATCCATTGGGCTTGCTATTCCGTCGTATTTTACATTTGGATCAGAGAATGTATACAACGAAGAACTGAACGTGACAGGAAGTGCTTGTCGAAGACTTACCTCTACAACCCAAACAGCGTCTTTAATCCACAGTGTCATCTGTGCTTTGTTTATGTTAGCTGAAGCAATTGCACTCACCATTCTATATGCAGAAATAGCCAAAGTCATATTTCGACGGAAGAAGGAACCTTTGTCCACATTTTATCAGGCCAACTCAAAAGAAAATGACAAGAAAAAGAACAATAATGTCTCTTTGATGTTTATGATTATTACAATAATCTTCATTATATCTTTCATAACAAGACTTGTTACGTTTATTTTGGAGAGTGCAATAGTTGGAATTTGGGAGAGACTCTCTGTTACAGAATATGGCGTTGTTAGAATGATTGAGTTATTTTATATCATTAACCATTTGGCGAACCCTTTTATTTACGCTTTTATGGATGATAAATTCATATCAGAACTCAAAATTGGACTGTTTTGCAAAACAAAGCTGGAAACAGATACGCCAGAAAATACATAGGTGTCATAACATAGTAATATTTACGTTTAATGTTGAAAAATCAGAAAATAATACATAAGGCGACTTTAAAGCGCTTAATACTTTTTGGAAACCATCGACCACCGAAATCTTGAAATCTCATTTTTCGTTCAACATATAAATTGTAATTCGAATTCGTTTCAGAAGACCCTGATTTCTTTTTAAATTTTACTTTCATATGCCGTAAATGTCTATAAATAATTTTAAGAAGAATAAAATGAAACGTTTTATCCTTAGAATCCACATTTCCCCCTGATGTTTTATACTTGATTAATATAAATAATCATGTAAACAGCATCTTGCAAGACTAAAAAGAAAGATGTATCATGTTAGATTTTGAATTTTATACTGTTTAATATTCAGATGTAAGTAAAAATCACTTTTCCTCTTTTTCTTGCACTATATTTAGCAGTCGGAAGTTTACATAAGTTTTGACGTCCGTTGATGAGTTACTTCTCAGCTTTTGCAATGGTGGTCATCGATAACACAACACAGTGACTCGGACTAGAATGTTTTTCTTCATAAATAACTTTCTTCCTCTGTGTCTAAGTTATTTGAATAGTGTAAAGTCATCATGATCTGATATTCTTCTTATTTTTTTTAAGATATTTTTTACTAGCCCCTTATACTTAAAATTAGAAATATGTGTTAATAATTTATTTCTCATGAAGGTATTAATATAATCGTAATAAAGTAGAAATACAAACACATTTCGCTTTAGTGCAGGCAGACATTATCGGTAGCCGATGTAGTTTTCAGGTAACACAATTTTCAAACAAGGGACGTGATGCAAAAAAAAAAAAAAAAAAAAAAAAAAAAAAAATTAGCAGAAAAAAAAAATTATCAAGGATGTTCGCTCTCAAGAAATATCTGTTTGAATCATTTTGATTATTTTTATAGATTACTTGTATTTTAAAAGAAATAGTGGCGATTTCCCTATCATACACAAAAAATTTAATGCTTTAAATGTCTACATGTATGAGCATGAAGCGATAAAAAATTACATTGTCAACGAATTTCCAAATATGTTTTGAATCTAAATTATCTGAAAAAAAGGCTGGGTGCTGTAGTTAACTATAACCTGTATTGCAAATAGATATATCATCATTTTATGAAAAACGCAATGTTTTGCATTAATCAATGTTGTTAAAACATACATTGTACTAATCATCCTTGGGTGATTTAACCTTACTTTTGTATGCATATATAATCTGAGAATACATAATGTAAATTAACCAAAAGCAAATAAATCCTTATTCAAGGTAATGTGCGCTTTCTGTTAGATCACTTTACTTTGTTGGTTCTTTTATTCTTAGGCTCCAAAAATTGCCATTATTACACTTACTGATATTAAACGATGATCTGAGAGAACAGGAGTAGTAGGAAAACAAGACACACTGTACTTATAACACTTTATCACAAAAGAAAATCAACTGAACGACTGTATGATATAATCTACTGTTGAAGGGTTGAAAGTAAATACCTTTACTTCATATTTCTTTGGCGACGATCAAATATTTATATACCGGTAATCTGTCATACAAAGATAACACAGTAAGAAGATATATTTTATTTATAATTTTATTGGGTTGGATAACGTTGTAATTTGAAAATCTGCATTATTTTGAAAGATTTTTAATTGAAACTAATTTCATGATGTACATCAGAAAATATATATCAGTAAACATAACATTAAAATTTCGAAACAAGAAATATGTGTAATTCCAAATCATAGCTCAATCCTCTGTTCAAAAGATAAAATAATGTCCTTACTTTCTGGTTATTACTACAGTGTGATATAGAGGATATTCAATGTTTTGTAGATGAATATGGAATTTATTTCAAGACTGGGACAGGATTTTTTGATATTTTCACGAGTGCGAAGCACGAGTGAAAATATAAAAAAAATCCTGTCTCACGAGTGAAATAAATTCCATATTCATCTACAAAACATTGAATTTTCTGTTTATTACATTTTCTTAGATTTCCGCCTTTGTCTTTTCGTAATACAGTGTCATAGGCTGTGACGTCACAATTGAGCGGTTGGGACTTCATAGCTAAGTTGCTAGATTGAAAAACGTTGTAAACATGGATTTTTTAACGACATGTTTGGAAAAAAACTTTGGTAGTATTACTATTAGTCTCTGTCAGGATGGCTCATTAACTCTATCTAATAACAGCCGGGGATTTTTAAAAAAAAAAAAAACACTCTTTGTGTCTTCGTAAGATTTGCCGCACTTCTGATATTCTCACACTGTGAGAATACCATTTTTGTTATCCTTCCACACTGTGTCAGAATATCACTTTTATTCAGTAAATAAATTACAGTATTTCACTGTTGAAAATGTAATAAATCTCGGTATCTATTTAAGTATATACGTATATATCTAATTTAAGTAAATATGGCAACGCATTTAAATCATACGTGTTCGACACAAAAAATCAACAATACACAAAACAAACACAAATTTATGTGATAGACAAAGGCAAGAATATGCATAGCAATCGATTAAAGTATAAAAACATATTTTTTAAACAAAATCTCAGTCTTACGCACTCTTTGTTTTAAGTAGAATGACCTTTTATCACTGAAATATAATTTTTTGTAATCAAGGCTCTGTTTTGAGTTGAGCAAAGTTGGTAAAACAGCGAAATTGGAAGTAAATCAGCAGTCGTTTTCGGTATGTTATTTAATGTCGTTTATTCGTAACATGTTCGAAAACTAATTACTCCTGGCACTGGAATCATTTAAATTGTCTCTCTAAATGGAGGGTCATTCTACCTAAAACATGTTATGACTCATTTTTCTACTACAACCCAAAACAATGTGCACGTGCGTTTTACAGTACATAACTGGTTTAACTCAAAAGTTCACACAATAATACGATTTCTTTACACGTTATAGATATCTGGGTTTTTTTTAAAATCAAAATTCACATTTCTTGAAGGTCTCCTTATTATCTGCATCCATTATTGACAAAACTTATTCCTCTAAACAAAAACACCTATATATTTTACAACTCTAAATATTATTGCAAAGAGATTTTGATTACTAGTCAGTAAAAACGAAACCATAGATGTCAAGTATATATTTTTGACATGCATATATCACAGTTTGGTATCAAAGTCAAAGTGAGGAATATTATCCTCATCTGAGTCATTGTCGTCTGGAAGTGTTTCGTTTGGAGACAGAATTTCCTCATCGATGCGTTCAATTTCAATACCATCCCCAAAATCATCATCTTTCCCTTGGTCAAGGTCTTCTCTCGAGTTATCGTCTCCTTCTTCTCCATCTTCTTGTGAATCGATATCTTCCTCTCTCTCATCGATGTCTTCTCCAGACTCTTCATCTTTTTTGGCATCAGTACTATCTTTTTCTTTCAAAGGTTCGAATTTATTTTCGTCTGTGTCTAGCACTTGAGTCGAGAAGCGAACGGCCTTGACCTCATAATCCGGATTTGGTTCATCTTCGTCCTCATTTTGTTCACGTTTATTGTCTTCATCTTTAATCAAATCAGTATCTCTCCTGTCATTTGGATAATCTTCCGCAACATCCGATGATTTTGACAAATTCGTGACGTTTTCGTATCCGGATGCACTATTTTCTCCAAATTTTAGAGGAGCATTAACATAGTCATTTGGTCCATCGTAATCTGGTTTAATTTCGACCTCTATGTCACTCTCGGATGGATTATAGCTGTCCACAGGCAAGATATTGGTATCTTCTGCATCAAGATGGTCTGCCAAATCATTCAGAGTCTGTTGTGCCTCTTCTTCTGCAGGATCCAATTTTACCAAGGTTTCTTCGTCAACAGGATAAACTGGATTTGTAAATGCTGATACAACACCTTCTTTAAGCTCGCCAGTTATCGCATTATGTAGACTTGGCAAATCATGGGATCCATTAATAGATCCGTTATAATCTGAGGTTTGCTCGTCTGTCATTTGAATCTTCATCTCTTGCGATTCGTACAAGGAACTCCTTCGTGTAAGATGGTCGCTAAGCTGTTTATATTTCTTAAACCTTTACAACAAAACAGTTATATATTATAACAATGAAGATAATTTAATACAAGACAGCGGCGTATTAACAAGATATTAAATATTTTAAGAGTGTTTAAAAAATCTGAAATTCATTTCCATTTATTATACCTTCTTGTTGTGGTATATATGACACCTATAAGGATGATTGTACCGATGAACATCACTCCACAGATCGCAATTAGTGCAATGACTGCGGCTGGAAAACTTTCTTCAGTACTGACCAATTTCTCTGGCACTTCCACGGAGAAAATAGCAAGAATCGCACTCATGTGTTCTAAAACCATACTGTTAGAGGAAATTGAATAAGAGAAATAATCAAAACCTGCATTTTAAAACATTTAAAAACGAGAAGAGAGTGATAAATGTTCTTTCAAATTAATTGAAGACTAAACAACAATTTGTTTCTGGGGTTGACCTTTCAACTTTCCTTAAAAAAATTCTTAGGTTTTAATATGACAATTCTTTATATATTATTGAATGGAAAATCTAAGTTCTGTTGACATCTCTGTAAAATCAAGTGTGCCCAGTTAGGCTTTGAAAAGGAGAAAGGTTAAAGGTATATTTCCATTACTGAAACAGGAAGTTTTATTGTACTGTTGGATATAAATAAAATGAATTTTTCTAACTCATTCATTAGTATTGAAATCATATCATTATTTGATGATACAATACTAGGGGGATGTTAGAAACCCAAATGCTAATTGTCACGTAATGTCACTAATACTTGTAGGGTTACAGTATAATTATATTTGTATAGATTAATTAAGAATGATTACCCTTGCAGAACTTCACCACTGACATCTGTATCATTTTTAAACTTTGCTGTTATATTCAAATAACTCCTGCAAAGGTAAAGGAATCGGTTCAAATCAACATGATGTAAATATGAATTTAACTGATATAAGTTTATGATAACGAAAAATTTGTCTGTTGTTATATATATATATATATATATATATATATATATATATATATATATATATATATATATATATATATGACTTACGAGTGTTTCTCTCCTCTAACTTCTTCTATTTTATCCACAAATACTGTTAAATTCATTATTTTACCGATGTCTCTAAAAATAAATATATACACATACTTAATTCAAAAAAAGATAGTTTAAGGGTTAGTAAATTTATGAATTGCAAAATTAATTTAAAAATAAAAAAAAAATTAACTATTACGTTTTGTTTGCTATCAGTCATCACGTTTTCTTTGTCAAACATTTTGTAAGAAAGATTTTTTAAGAAAGCAAAAAAAAAAAAATTCATTAAACAAATTTGTAAAATGTAAAAACCAGCATAATGATTTTTATTGGAGCTTCAAGAGTGAAATGTTGTAATTTATTTATTGAACAAGCATTCTGAGAGTATTCCATTAGCAATACTAGTCCCCTACCGGCAGGTGTAATCTGGTTCCGTTCCCGTTAAGAATTGAAAATGCCATAATTCCGTCAAAAATTAATGAAGCGGGACGAAATGCAAACTTGATCTATAACTAATCTAGGTAAAGCCACATACAAAAAATCAGCTCAATATCTACAAGCGTTTAGAAGAAAATTGCGGAAAACCCGTAAAAATTGAAAAGGTCGTAATTCCGTCAAAAATCAATGAAGCGGAACGAAATGCAAACTTGATCTGTAACTCATCAAGATACACTCACATACCAAAAATCAGCTCAATATCTGCAAGCGTTTAGGAAAAAAATGCGGAAAACCAAGTGGGACAGACTAACAGACAGACAGAGGGACAGACAGACAGAGGGACAGACAGACAGACGGACAGACGGACGGACAGACTCAGAGGAAACCTATAGTCCCCTCCGGTTTCACCGGTAGGGGACTAATAAAAGGAGTATTTTGTCAACCTGTGAAGAATATCAAAGGTGAGGTAATCCCCATCGATTTTCCTTCCATTCAAGAGTGTAAAAAATACTCTTTGATTTGTTATAAGATAGAGTAAATAAACCATGCTTACAGAGACTGAAACTGACAAACTGTTTCCCAAAATATGGTGTTGAAATTCCTGTTTACAATGTGTTCAATCTATTAATCACTAAGCTATGATCGACGTCTCAACCGCTCAACTATGACGTCACGAGTTGAATATTGAATTTATTTCACTAATGAGACAGGATTTTTTTTAAGATTCACTCATGCTTCGCACAAGTGAAGATATAAAAAAAAATCCCCTCCCACCCGTGAAATAAATTCAACATCCAACTGCAAAACATTGAATATCCTCTATATACCTTTGAATATCTGCTTTACGCTTCAGGACATCATCCTTACTCTCTGGTACGGTAAATTGCACTGTCTTTCCTACTACCAAAGTTCTTGATAGCTGTAAAATTCAAACAATTCATACTAAAACTATTGTACTTTCCTTTCTCGATCTCTTTAATCTCTGAAATGCAAGAAATAAGTATTAAACGTAAAGGAGTCTTAAGTTTATATAATTATGCACAAGAAAGCAAAATATTAAGATAAATACTAGTATTTGGGCGTAAGACTGGAGTGATGGATCTCCATGATCCTTGGCAATTGCTGCTAACTCAATAAGGCTTGTAGATACTGGTGGTACTTTTTCAATCTTAATTTCTCCCGTTTCATTGTTAATCGAGAACATATTTGAAGATCTGAGTGAAAAAAATTATTTTGCATATTTTTTTAAAAAATGATATAAGAATAATTGTTTATAAAATTTGTTCATAGAATTGAAGCCATAAAGACACACATTTGATATTTTACTAAGGGTGGATAATCAAAGTAAACCTACAAAGTCTGTTCCAGTTTGTATGTTATTGCTGAATTCGGTGTATTTTCTTCGTCACCGTCGTGTGCCTAAGAGAAAGATGTTAAAAAATATAAATCTTCTGGCTTAAAACTTAAGTATAAGCAATCAACATTTGTAAAGATAAAGCTCAAAAAAACTTCTAATGACTTTCCTTTCAGAAACTTAAATACCTTCACATGTCCAATGATGTGGCCTATGCTCGGATTAAGGGGTAAGGGAAAAGTATATTCTTTCGGTTCGAACACGGGCGCTTTGTCATTAATGTCTAAGAGAGTTAGAACCACAGTGGCTGTTTTTTCAGATGGTTTTTCACTTTTTCTGTCGTATGCAATAACCTAGAAACAATTACTTTACTTTTACAAAATTCGGTTACAAGTATGAACAATGCTAATGTGATCAAACATCTGCATATGAACTATGCCATTCAATTAACTAGAGGCCCATGGGCCACAACGCTCACCTGAGTAACTTTGGCCCTGCTGTTCTTCACCAGACTTTCCCCCATGAAATACACCTATTGTGGTCCTATCCTATCCCAGGGGTCATGATTTTAACAATTTATAATCTACACTACCCCAGGATACTTCCATATCAGTTTTAGCTTTTCTGGCCCAGTGGTTCTTGAGAAGAAGATTTTTAAAGATTTTTCGTATATATTTCAATGTAAAAAATGGATTCCCTATTGTGGCCCCGCCCTACCCCTAGGGGTCCTTATTTTTTTTTTTTTAAATTTAGAATCTACACTGACCCAAGATACTTTCACATAAGTTTCAGGTTTTCTGACCGAATGGTCCTTGAGAAGAAGATTTTTTAAGATTTTTTTTTCAATATATTTCAATGTAAAACTTGGATTCCCTATTGTGGCCCCACCCTACCTCGGGGGTCATGTTTTTAACAATTTAGAATCTACACTACCCCAGGATGCTTCCACATAAGTTTCAGCCTTTCTGGTTCAGTGGTTCTTGAGAAGATTTTTTCTAAATATTTCAATGTTAAACTTGGATTCCCTATTGTGGCCCCATCCTACCCCCAGGGGTCATGATTTGAACAATTTAGAATCTACACTACCCCAGGATGCTTCCACATAAGTTTCAGCTTTTCTGGCCAAGTGGTTCTTGAGAAGAAGATTTTCTAATGACCCTACCCTATTTTTGCCTTTTCTTGATTATCTCCCCTTGTAAGGGGGCCTGGCCCTTCATTTTAACAATTTAACTTTCCCTTCACCCAAGTATGCTTTGTGCTTTGGTTAAAATTGGCCAAGTGGTTCTTGAGAAGAAGTTGAAAATGTGAAAAGTTTACAGACGGACGGACGGACAGACAGACGGACAGACAGACGGACAATGGGTGATCAGAAAAGCTCACTTGAGCTTTCAGCTCAGGTGAGCTAAAAATGACTGTATGAAAGAGAATGATATACTGTCCATATGATAAAAATTACTTGCCTTTATAATAATTGTTCCATTTTCGCTTTCTCGGTCCATTTTAAGCGGATTTTCCACTCTGATAACACCTTGATTGTCCACTGAAAACGTTGCATTGTATGGTTTAAGAATTTTGTATCCCACTTCTGCATTTTCACCCTATATTACCGGGAAAAATCAAAATTATGCTGTAAGTAAATTTAAATATTTTTTTACATTGTACATTATAATTCTGCCTTAATCTTATCAAATTTTTTTTCAAGTTACTAGTTATACCAATAGCTAAACTACATGTATGTAAAGTGAAAAGTCGAAAACTACCCACTCTTTAAAAGGAGGAACTAATCGAAGGTCTACAGCACTTGATCATTTCTTTCTCTCACAGAAAGGGCAATTAAACCCTCAATCCAACTTAAAACACGATTTACTTTTTATTATGCCCCTGTAATCGAAGATTTAGGGGCATATAGTTTTTGCCGTCTGTCTGTCTGTTTAGCTGTTTATCTGTTTGTCCGCCAAAACATTAACCTTCCCCTTGAATTTTGATTGGTTGGAGCTATTGCTTTCATTTTTCGCATATGTATTCCTTGTGACAAGATCTTTCTTTGGGTACCAACATATTTGACCTCTTGACTTTGACCTTAACGTTTGCAAAATTTTACCGAACTTTAACATTGGCCGTAACTTTTGAACATTTGCTTGTAGGGCTTTCATATTTCACATGTGTATTCCTTGTAATAAGACCTTTCCTAGGGTTTAAATATTTTTTATCTTTAGACCTTGACCTTGGAGTTTGAACCATTTTTGAAATATGTTAACATTGACCGTAACTTTTGAACAGTTGGAACTATGCCTTTCATACTTTACATGTTCATTTCTTGTTATAAGATCTTTCCTAGGGTGCAACAGTTTTTGACCTTTTGACCTTGACCTTTGAGATCGACCCACTATTCAAAAACTTTAACTTTGGCCATAACTTTCGAAATGTTGATGATGGTGCTAGAGGTTTCATATTTCACATGTGTATTTCTTGTGACAAGACCTTTCCTTGTGCACCATAAATTTTAACCTTTTGACCTTGGAGATTGACCTACTTTTGAAAAACTTTAACCTCCGCCATAACCATTTTAATTGTTGGTGCTAGGGATTTTATATTTCACAGGTATATTCCTTTTCACAAGACATTTCTTTGGGTACTATCATTTTGGATCTCTTGACCTTGGAAATTGATATTCCTTTGAGAAACGTTAACCCTAACCACGAGTTGTTATACGGCGGCATCCGTGTTTTACAAACACGTCTTGTTTTTTTCTGAGAATAAACAAAGAAATTGTAGAAAACTGATATTTTCTTCAGATATTTAGAATGGATTATGTCTGATAGGATGCATGCAATATAGGTTAATCGGCGATAAGTAAGGGGTATTTGATGCTACATTAAAATATCTTAGTCTAAAGGATGGAAGTTGCAGATGAACATTGGGGAATATTGATTACTAGTATATGATGCTGTAAAATCTGTTCAACGCTTGCTTTAAAGAGATAACATGTTTGATACTCCGCTTGACGGCGCTCTTGTTTGAATTTGTGAGTACAGGAGCCAGATGAAGAGAAACAATTGAAAATTGAATTTAGATTCAATCCTTTTTTGATAGCAATCAAGAGAACTCTTAGATGATTAATACATGTTTTTATTCAATATCTTAAAAACAGTTTCATTCTTGAAATGTAAGGCAAACTTTAGGGGCTGCATGGTTCCTTCATATCTTAATTATGCGCTTTATGATCTTTCTGTTAAAAATCGCCACTTGAACTTTAATTTTATAAATTATTACAAAATATTTCAAATAAGAGAGATACTTGTTTCCAATGACTAGGGATCTGGATACGTTTCTTCTAAATTCAAATATACCAGTCTACGTATATTAAGTGTAGTAGTGTGATGTTGAGGAAAAATGTGTAATAACGAAGAGTACGCATGTTTAAAGTGCACACTATATCATAGGTGATGCATTCAAGTGCTAGTGTATCATTCATGTATGCTTTGCAGGGATTGTCATTTGGTAAACATACATTAATTCACTCTCAAGTATCTTTCTGTTGTTTTTAATTTTGTTTTTTTTTTTACTAAGTATAGTTTTATGCATTTGTTTATCTCTAATTTAAATCTATATCTGTTTCTCCCAATTATATTTGTTATAATAGTAATACTCTAAAATCACCCATTTCCTGGGATTTTCGAGGTTTGTGGAAAAAATATTGATTCAAGGGGATCTAATTTCTAAGTTGGAAGATATACATGATATGGGGCATTGTAATGTTGTGGTGGACATGAATTCGTGGGTCTCTTCATACCTCGAAAAAATGTGATTTCGCAGTAACCGTCAATTCTGATTAAATCTAATCTCCAGAATTTATGAGGGTCCGTGTTTTATGCCCTGTTCACAAATTTGTATTCATTGTTGATTTTTTGAGATCGATCACTGTTCGTTATCTTCACGTTTTTCATTCATTCGAATTTAAAACAATGTCCTCTCAAAAAAGAATGGTCAGATTAAAATTTACAATTTACATATTAGAATGTTTTAAGAGTTTATATAAAAAGGATATTAAAGTGCACCACCTTACTTTGTTTGAAAATCTGCGCTTAAATATGTATGTTTCCTCTACACATGTAGATTGAATAAATTTTAAAAACTTCCTTTCATAATAAAAGCTTTTTAAAAAAACAGCATATATATTAAGTGAAAGCTATCAAAAATATTCATAAAGCAATACTACTTTGAATTGATTGATTGTATGTTGTTCAATGTCCCTTTCAAGAATTTTTCATTCATATAAAGACTTCATATAAAGGGCTTCAAATATAGACCTTTACTCGGTACTCAGGGTCAATGAGCAGTGAGGGATCTTTATCGTGCCAACGCCTGCCGTGACACGAAGCCTCAGTTTTTTAAGGTCTCACTTCAAGTTGCTGAACCCTTAGCGAAGGAACAATTGCAACCTATTTTTATCGACTCAGGTCAGTCGCGGCCGGGGTTGGCACCCACGGCCTTCCGATCACGGAGCGAGCACTCTACAGACTGAGCTACCGTCGATTGATATTATTTTGGAAGGAAGACGTGTATAGCTAATCGAAGATCCAAGAAAAGAACTTTATAAACAAGTTCTTTTTTTAAAATAAGGATGATAAACACAATACCTCATCAATATCTACTGCTGTGACACGTGCAATAGACGTCCCTTTGCTAGAATGCTCTGGAACAGAGAAATTGAAGTCCGTTTTCTGAAATTCAGGAGCATGGTCATTCACATCATCCACAATTATGGACAATGTAGCAGTGCAACTTCTAACGTCTGTGTTTCGTTGGACGCCCTATTGATTAATAAATTGATATTAATGAATTGATGTCAAATAATATATTAGTCTTTTTTATTTGTGTTTCAGAATTCAGTTAAAAATAAATTACAAGAACAAGTGTTAAACCCCGAGTTTTCTTGTGACAAAAACGGATGATATAATTTTTTTAAAAAATGTTTTATACCTTAATTATAAATTTATAAAAGTTTTCTTTCTCCCTGTCCAATACACAAGTTGTGGAAATCTCACCACTTATTTCATTAATCATAAAGCATCCTTTCACATTGCTACCATCTACAATAAGTAAAACAATTCATTTTCTATGTTGAAAGGCCATGACAAAGCGGTGATTAGCGTTTAAATTTTCTATCGCAAGAAGGTGATTCTTTTGATGTTATATAACAGTTCCTATGACGTTAAAACATTACATACCTTCGAATCTATAATACACTTCCTGTCTTCCGTCCCCTGTGTCCCTGTCGGCAGCAAATATGACCGGATTTGTTCTCAGTGAAACATTCGTAATTGTTGAATTCTATTACAAAATCAATTCGGAAAAATATATTCTTAATTCTTTTTCCTTTTAAAGGGATAAGCATAAAAATGTGATAAACCAACCAAATAAGAACACTACTAGTATATCAATGCTTTGTGTTCTTGGTTGGTGTGATTAATATATGATCAACCGTATTAATTTATAGGATATATTTTTTTTCTGGATTCCTTATTGAATATCGCGAAATTATATACTGTAAAATCACTTTATTTTAAACGGGGTCAAATTTTCGTGGTTTGAGGAAAAATGACAAGTATACTTTCTCCCAAAAATATCATCTTTGTTAAAATAGTGACACTAATTATGATTTTTTAACGAAGTAGCAGATAACATAGTAGCAGATCAATTTATAAATTTTGAAATTTATTTTGGTTTAATTCTGTGTTTGGGTGAGCCAAATATTTTTTTTCAGTTTAGATAGTCTGATGAAAAAAGGATATATGTCTTTTAGTGTGTCTGGACAGAAACGTAACATGTCAAGATGTGCATTTTGAGTATTTTTAATAAGGTAAGAAATTATTCTAATGAATCAAATTAAAAAAAAAGTTTATTGGACAGAAACTATGCCGAGCAGGACCTACATCTATTGCAGAACAATAATCTCGTGATACTTTTTAATAACTTTAAGGAGGTTGGATCCTATTATCAAAACTATTGAGAATTTTTTATTAAGTATAATTTTAGAATCTACACACATAGCTTAATTAAAAACCAAAACAAAGGATGGGGGTCAATGCGCTTCTTTTGGCGCTATAGAGCATTTAATATGACCTTTTAATCTAACACATAAATCAATTTTTAAAAGTTTTTCCTCAAATATTTTTTTGCAATTAAATTCTGGGAACAAACACAGTCTTTTTTCATCTTGAATAGTCACATTAAAATTTGTGACAACAAAAAACTTTCAAATTACTCCGCATACTCAATTAACTGACCTTTCTGCACTCAAAAAATGTTATTTTTCTGGCATTAAAAATTTAACAAGCAATAAAATGATTTGAAAGTAATGACATTTTTCTAAATTTAAGCGGAATGGTTAAAATTATCTTCAAAAGTTCAGAAAAGAAAATTAAAAGTGTGGGTCTGTGATAATATTTTTTTAAATATAAATTGCTAAAATAGTGTTAATTTTAAGTTTAATTTGGGCTGTTTTTTTCCGAGGACTTTCACAATATATTAGCTATATTTGTCAAATGTGATGAATGAATTCATGACAGTTAATGTATACATAATTTAGGACCAGCATAAAATATTTCATTGCACAGAATAACTCTTTGTGCAGTCTGCATGTAAGAGAAGAAACCCAAACTTAACAATACTATACTTCGAGAGAGAAAAATTGATAATTTTTCTTCTAAAAACCTTCCACAAAATATAGATCCTCACTTAATGCTTTCGATATGGAATTTAACCATGGGGTTTTAACTGAATATAGTTTCATTAGCATTGTAGAATTCAAATTTATTGTAAGAACTAAGACATTATGGAGATTTTTTTTAAATAGAGGTAAAGACAAAAATATGCTCAAAAGCTCAGGAACGAACCTCTTTAAAAACAACTTTTGTTTAAAACATTCAAATTATTGTCATAGTATTCTTTAACATTTTGTCGAGATTATCATGATTAATTTGTGTTTTTACGAGATAAAGGCTGAGATCATGACAAAATTTTATATGTTAATGCGATATTTTATAATCAGCTGTTTAACAGTAGATTTAAGAAAATTAAACCTTAGCAATCCAAAAGGCCAAACTCACAGCAGTGCATATAAATTTTAATGTAATATTCAATATATTCTTCATCATCTACTTAAATACTTGCTTCTTCGGGTATATGTAGTGTATATATGTCATGGTCAAACGCCGGGTCCATATCATCAACATCTATTACGTATACAGTCAAAGTGGTGTAATTCACAAGGTTTTCCACTAGGAATGCCTAAAACATACGATCCATTATTGTTTATTCATTTCAAAAATAGAATATTTTTTTAATTATACATGATAATCCTTAATCTGCACACGTATGACTTTTGTTGACTATTTCATTTACCGCAGATATATTCAGATTGTAAATGTTCTTTCCACTGTCGTAGTCCAGAGGTCTCTTTATTTTGATGTCATATGTGCTCGTAATTTCAAACTCGTCCTGTTCTCCCTTTAAAACCAAATAATTTGTCAGAAAATACAATACAATTTATGATATTTTATTGTAGATTCCAAAAAGGTTAGAAGACAATTTACGATTTTAGAATGCTGACAACTCATGTGTATTGATTTTAAAAATAAAAACATGAAAAATTGTTCATTTTATGTATTTCGCATTTTTTGTGGAACGATAAATCTTGTATAAATTTCATAGGTTTCAAAATCTGGCATAAAATTGACAATTGCATATTTTTTCCTTTTTCCCCAAATGTTCTAGGGTGCATAGCGCCCCCCCCCCCCAAAAAAAAGGGACTGCATGGCATTAAATGCACATATTGGGAAAAATAGCAATTACACTCGCCAATGGTAATAGAATGCAGAGATGACTCAGACCATCGGCATCCATCTTGGAACTTTTTAATCCGAGATATGGAGAGATAAAAATCAATAGTATGCATATTAATACTTTCATTTTAAGTTAAATAAAGTTTGTACAAGCCGTCGGCGAGAACATTTGCGGACAAACCAAAAGTACATTTTATAAATGAAAACCCATTTCATTTATTTATCTTGTATTATTTAAGCACAGAAATAATAAAGTTAAATTAGCAGTGATAATGACTACTAGTATTTTCGTTCCATTTGACAAGATAGCATGCACACAACATATTCAATCATACACTGTAGTGATTTCAGAAATCTAAGAAAATCAAGAGACACAATTTACCAGCAAAAAGTATACATTACCGACAATTTTCTCTCTCTCTCTCTCTCTCTCTCTCTCTATATATATATATATATATATGTATCCGTTTGTGTGAGTGTGTGTGTATGTGTTAAATTAAGGGTTTGATGAAATGGTCCTTACTTCAATCTTAAAATATGCGCCTGAAAGCTCTTTACAGTCTTCTCTTGTAATATCAATCAGGCTAAAATCATAGATGTCTGTGCCAATTTTTGCTGACTGAATGAAAAAAATGTATGTAATCAATTAAAAGTATACATCTAAAAAAATATTTGATAACTTTTTTTCATTTTTATAATACATTTATAATTCATTTTTATAATCCTCGTTTTCTTCTTGTTTGTCTGTTCTCCTTCTTATCTATGTCCTCTCACTCTGCCTATCTTTTAACTTTTAAGTATTTTAAATAATAAAATCAAGAGTTTTGCATTGTATATGAAAAAGACATGTAGACACGTAATTTGAACATTTTTTGTGAAAGCGCAAAAAAGAGAACATATTGTGTACCTCAGATACATTGGTAAAATATTCTGATTTCTGAAATTTCAATTTTCCCCTCGACACTCGGTTGATTCTTACGGTAAGTGAGTTCTTCTTCAGGTTGCTCTGAAAAATATTCACCAAAAGTATTTTAAGAACACTATAGGGTAAGTTTAACGGGCATCGGACACGTTCAAACTTGAAGAAGTTATTTATAGCGATATCGCTACCGACCCAATATTATCAAAATGGAGCTTAATATGTATTATGTGAATAAATTATGAATTTGTGACAAATCTTTAATGCTATTTATTGAGAAAATATCATTAAAACGATTTTTGTAACGAGCCAGAATCCAAGATGGATTGTCTAAATGTCCCACCATTATCGCAGTGGCCTTTAAAATACCTAAATACGTATACATTAGTGACATGATTTTTTAATGCTTTTTATAGGGCCGGGTATCAACTGGGAATTTCGTATTGCAATATACTGCGATATTTTTAGCTGTATTACGATCCGTATTGTGATATTTTCAATAACATTCAAACTGATCTTTTCTTATATATGCATTTCATTAATCTCCATTAAGTAGACTGTATGAAACTGTTATAAATACGTTGTAACAGAAAGTTCTTATTTATTTCACTATAATTTCGCAAAAAAATGCAACCATGCAACAGCAAACTTTCTGCTTGGCATGTTTGAAAACGTTTCAGAAAACTTAAATTACATATCCTACTTCAGAAATCCCAAGCCCAAGCATTTGTCGGTATACCCATACTGAAAAAACGTATTGCAATACGATATTTTTGTCTACGAATCGCAATATACGGCGATATCAATATTATTACACAGTCTTATTGATTCAAAGATTAACACTTTATATTATTTCGATTGATTCTAAATATCGATCCACAAATGTGGAGCAATTTTAGTTGCATCACATCGCCTTAGATAGGCCTAGCAATGCCTTGTATCATGATAAGGCCTAGCAATGCCTTGTATCATGATAACTTTCGCCTTAGTCTTGTAGGTTATCATCTTCTTATTTGAAGAAAAATAAAGAGAGCACACTTCTAGTTGTCATATATGGATAACTTGTATTTATTCTGAATATATGTTGAGTTTACATCTTTTATTTCTGCAAATACTGCTGTCAGTGGGGTACTAAACGTGTTTCACTATGCGAAAAAAGAGGCAATTATCCATATATCAGACAATATCCAATGCATGGTAAATTATTGTTTGTTGCATGGTGAAATAATAAACTAATAGCAAAAGCAACTCTTAGAAAAGAAATATAACCTTTGCAATGAAATGTTCTGAAATTTTCTATAAAATTATCAATCAATAACAAAATTCATCCGATATGGAATCGTTCCCTGGAAATTTAAGGAGAGAAAGAAAACAAATAAAAAATATCAAATTCTGGGTACTACACGTTGATGATATCAAATGTGACGTCACTTCAAGGCCATTATCTTGGTATTTTTATCACCTCATAATAATGAAAATCGGCATCATTAAAAAGGTTTAAATCTTTGGCTTTAAGGCAGAAACAAGTTAAAACACGGAGACATTAAGGTTTGATGCCAGTCAATTGCTTAAAGGAAGAGATTTTTTACCGGGTGGTAAATTCCAGGTGAGGGAGGGGCTTATTGTGTACAGGTGTGAATGCCTTGAGGACTAGCAGTCTACCTATGGTCATTTGTCTCCCAATTCCTATACACAGGAAGTGATTTAATACACAGTAGAGTACCAAAGAAGTCAAAATTTACCTGTATTGGGATTCTGAGATGATTTTAAATTAGAAATAAAAAGTTGTAAATAAATTTTAATCTCAATAATTTTTATTAATTTGTAATTGATTGTGTGTCAAAGCATCTCCACCCATTAAAAATATTATTTTTTAAAGTACCGGTATTTGTTGAGCTTTGAAAAAAAAAGTTTTACCTAACTTTGATATATATTATCATAAAGAATATCATTATTATTTCAAATTCTAAAGGTGTGTGTATATTAATACTATCAAGCTAAAAATAGCTTCTCTACTGCTTATACCATGTGTGGTAAATATCAAAGGATCAAAAGTTAATTTGAAGGTCACCATGAGTGCCAAACAAGGTGTACAGGGTATATACAGGGACTAGTAAGTAAATGTCAATCAAGTTCTAGCACCCAATGATGAACCTTAATGCACTTGATTGACAGGGGTACACAGACCAGGTATTTTTGAAGGCGGTGCTTAAAATCTCTGCCTTTAAAGGTATGTGTCCGATACATGGTGAACTGTCCCTAATACATGTATGCGCACTAATAGATACTTTTGATGGTTGTGTCGATAAATTAAGTGAAGTTGTATTTTCCGAATGATACTTTCTAACGAGACTGGATGATCAACAAAGTATCCAGTGGAGCTTTCAGGTGCCATGGAGGAGTGAGCATCCCCTGCCGACGGGGCCCACCCGCCGTGTGTTTCTTGTCATAAACGGGAAAAACTCGTCGACAATTCAGTGTGTAAATAATAGCCTAACAATTAATATGAAAAACGTTAGTCAGCACATGACTTAATAATAATTATATTTGATGACAAGGTCATTGTGTCGATCATGGAACTTAAGTAATGATGACATTTGTTATTCTTGTTTCATCAACTTGTTTGTCAATAACTTACCTCGTTTTAGAAATTGTTCATAATTAGAGCATGCTCTTGCGTATCGAATCAACTGAAAGATAGCTATATATAGACACCCCATATACAGGTGATAAGGGTATATTGCTGCCTAAGTTAAAGTCATCACTTTTATCATGAAGCTTTGTTGTTAGATTACCATCAACGTCTTTTTCTAGTAAAATATCCAAATACGAATCAGATGTGTCAGACTCCGGAATCCTTTATTTCAAGCTCACTGGGATATATCGTGTCGACATATGAATGGAAATAACTATTGTTAATTAATAATACGTCGTCGATATATCTTAATGTCGAGTTGAAGGCCCCATGCAGCAAGAGATTTCTTTTTCTCATGTATTTGTATAAATTCTGCGTCATATGAATACAAAAAAAGGCCTGCTAACAACGGGGTGCAATTGGTAACCATGGGAATTCCGACAGATTGTTGGAAGACCTGGTCTCCAAAACCCATATAGATAATGTCAATCAGAAACCCAAGCATCTTTTTAATATCAACTTCAGAGTGTTTGTGTGTACAATCAGAATGTTTTTTTTTTACAAAATGAAATATCTAATTACTTTAAACCAATTTTTATTTTCTGCAAGTTTCACAATCTTTATCTATACTCGTGAATGTTTCTCGCCACAATCTATCTTATTCATCGAATACTTATGTAGCATTATTCTTCAGTCTCGAAAATTAGTGGCGAGGGATGGATTTCAAATTGACAAAACGCAAATAAAAAGTTGGTTTATATTTTAATTGCCCCAGGTAAAATAGGGGGGAAAAAAAGACTGTCACTTTTAACGAGTTAATTACATGTCAAAATATTATCTTTAGCCCTACTACTAAAACTATGAACTCATGACATCTGTTGTTCATATCTATCAATCATCAATAATGTATTTAAACCCCATTGTTTTAGTTAATATTCAAGAATTAGAATCTTGACGGTGTCCTTGATATTGTTCATTGACAAAAAATAAAGACAGACTATTATAGGACTTTTTCATCTCGTTACTTATAATCAATACCTGTGTTTTTGAAAAAAATAAGTTGACGCATCAAACAGGTTCTGGCATTAATGTAAATGAAAAAGGTGAAAATAGCGAACAGTGAGCCAATGCAAAAACAAACATTTTAAACCAGGCAAAACCATAAACGGAGCATAAGACTTGGACCCCCAAAAATTTCAGAGGTGGGTTCACGTGCCTAGGAGTAGAAAGAATTCTCTATCGACAGATCAAAACCGATAGTAAGCCCTGTTTACTAATCAGGTAGACAGAGTACCCGTAGTAAAATTTATTATAAAAACAAATTATCTTTTATGTAATATCAACCAGCTACGCGATTTTAAGCACGTCAGCCTACTGATTTTGAAGTATTTATTTTTAAAGATTTTTGTAATACATGATGCCATGAAAATGTTTTATTATTCACTTAATAACAATTGATTGAAACAAATCTTGTTTTTAAAACATGAGGATACCCTTATATAGTAGATGTAGATTACAATTGTTAAGGAAAACTTTTTAAAGTTATTCGCCAAACCTTTAGGGTCGCCCAAAGTCGACCAATATTCTTGTAAATACATACCTCACACCTAAAAACACAGCCTATTGACTTTATATCCTGCAAGAAAAGTACACATAATCATTCAAAATAAGTTATATTATTATCATATCCACGTTGTTAAAAAATTATTATCTTGAGTTTCACATCAAACCAATTTTTCGAAATAAGATGGCGGTTTATCAATAAATTAATAATGAATTTAAAAAAAAAAAAACATACACAAGCACTAGGATCTAGAAGATTCACTTTTAAAAGGAGTTTTGTTCCATTAATTTCCAACGCTCTCTCACAGCCGTTATCAAGGAACATGAGTGTTTCATTACCAAGTTCACTGTAGAAATCCCGAACTTCATCTCCTTTTTCTAAGCATAAATATAAAATTATTTCCCAAACTACTATTTTTAAGCATAATTTTTGCTATTATTTGTTTCATATAAAGTTTGAGATGCACATGTTAATGATAAAAATAAATATAATTTTTTTTTAAGTTTTGAGACTTATTGGTTTTTTTTAACGAACTCTAATTTCGTCATTTTTTAATTGTTAAAAGACAAGAGGATTCCTTAGTGTCTTTTGGAGATATAAATGAGTTAGAAATAATGATTACTAATGAGCACAGATTATGCTTTTCTCCTTTTGCACAGCTAATTTTATTCACATTTCCCGTCCATACAATTCAATATTTTGTTGCATGTTATAGAGATAAAAAAATTAATTAAAAGTGAATAATCGCTCTTTGGAAATGATAATCAATTAGAAGAATGGAAGGAAATAATTACTCCTACCATATTTATTTATGATTCATGCTCTGAAACATGATTTTGATCATAAAACATGTAGGTCTAGAGCAATTTTACACTGATTTAGCATGTAATTATTTGCATATTAATTCCACGACATTCCTTACCAAACAATGTGCTGTCATTAAATACTATATCAGTTGGGTTGTCGAAATATGTTTCACAATCAGCTGAAGAAAAAAATCGAATGTATCTAAAACACAATACCAAAGAAGAAAAGGACACTAAATGAAAACTTTATCACTGATCGTTTAAAACAATTTCACTTACCTTGAATCAGCTCAATGAAAAGTACACAGTGGAACATAAACAAAATTTTCCTTTTCAACCTAAAAAGAAAAATATTTTTCGAATTTACTTGAAGATAAAACAGAGAAAATTTTCAACTTTCTAATGCACTAAGAGAGCACGAAAAGCATTCTCTCGACATACAAAGGAACTTTACCCAAATCCTCTCTTCAATTAACACCTTTCTATTTTTATATACATATGTATGTTTATCTGCAGATATTTTGTTATGTAGATAGTTTGATGAATAATGAAGAAATTAAAAAGAAAATATTCATATGGTAATGTATATTTCATGAATGTACTTTTTATTTGTTTATGCCCAATTTGTCGTTCTTAAAATTTCCATAGCAGTAATGTGCCGGGGATATGAACATTTGTATATCAGGGATGGGGTAATGGTAATCGAGCTATCGTAATCGATTGTAATGATTACTTTTTTCAAGTAATCGACAGTAATCTGTGTTCGAAGAGATTTTCGATTAGTTGTAATCGTAATTTAATCGATTATAGCTAAAATTTTCAATGTAATTATGATAATATTACAAAATTTTCGATTACTTTCGATTATTTAATTTTATACATACATGTAAATGGATGTCATTTTGTATAATTATTTCCAGTCAGTCACACATAAATATCAAATATAAACCACCCAGTGTAATGTTTGGATTTCCTAACTTTTATTATCATAAGTTTGATAATTTTCTCAATAAAATTTGCATTATAGACCTTCTGGTCTAGTATTAAATAATTCAGAAGTGTATTTCAACCATTTATTAATAAAATATACAGATTTTTCGTGTGCATTTTACATTTGATCCACTGTCCTCTTGCTGCATGTCCTTTTTCATATTTCAGATGTTGAAAAACTTTGTCTTGTAATAGAAAATTATAAATAGCAAAAACAGAATTAAGTGCATTAATAATTTGGTAAATAAACTACATTTTACTCGAAAAAAAAGAATTCAAGATGGAAATACTTATTCATACCTGAAAATGTTTGAACAACTTCAAACTTGCGTTTTAGTAACTTTAAAATTTGCAAAATCATTCTCATGTTTTCATAATAAATAATTAATTGACTGAGACATCCCTGATTTGCAGATAATGAGGTGTAAACTGTGAACTACCAAGTGTTTAACTTTCATTCCATTGAAGACAAACAATATTTAATTTATTGAAACAGTTAATAGCTCTCAAAACACTTATTTTAATACAAAATGATATTGTGCTATTAGTTTAAATACTTAAAGACACATTTAATTTACATGTTTATTACTAAGAGATCTAATTTACTCATTTTTCTGAAAAAGACACGTACAGGAATGTTTAATGTGTGCTGTCAACATACGGGCAGCCCAAATACTTCTTATGAAGTAATTCACGATAAAATATTAAATAGTTTTTACAACAAGTCAATGAGGTTCAGATCCAAGGTTGAATGGAATAATTAATTCCTTGGCATATTTTATTGCAGGAATCATGTCCCCAGGAATAATGTCTCCACTTTCCGTGAGAATCCCTCATTTGGGCATTTAGTGAGAATGTTAGCCAGAATAAAACCTTAAAAGAATCTGCACTGAAACTGCAGGAACGCATTCAAGCTTCAGTGGATAACATCCAACATTTACCATTTAAATATTGCTTTGATATTTGAAGGGATAAAAACTTTGAAGTAATCGATTATTGATCGATTACATCTTCCAAAATAATCGATTTCAATCGATTACAGGACAAAAATGTGTTATCGATTAATAATCGATTACACAAAATTCCTCTAAGTAATCGATTATTAATCGATTACATTTTTCAGTAATCGTGCCTATCCCTGTTGTATATCTTATCAAAAACCGTCAAAAATAATTACATACTGATCTACAACAATATTAATATTTATCTTACAAATGATGTTTTTTCAATGATTTCAAGTTAAAGCCGAACGTCAACTTTGTAGTATTCACAAATTCTTTGTATATTCTATGAGAGGATATTCTGTCAGTGGTTAAGTCTATTGCTCCTAGACAGTTGTTAAATGTTCCGTTTCCGGGGAACGATTCTGATAAGAAATATTTTCTCTTGTCAAAACCTTACCCAGCCTCGTGTTTAAAAAAGGTTGCATAACTTATCAATCATTACATCCCGAATTCAGTCGGCAAAATGTGTAATGATGATTAGTTGGTACTGAATTAGAGTGGTTAATAAAGGGCGCATATGTATTGTAAAATTCAAGGAAGCATATTTTATTGAGAACATTTAAACATGCAAATAGTCAATACAACAAACCAATTTTCAAATTCTTTCTGCTTGAATCATAAATTAAACACGCCTAACCTCAACTCAGATAAGAAAAAACCATACAATAAAAATTCAGTTTAATTTGTTTAAAACAGTAAATTGACTGGCAGAAGTTATTTTCGGTTCATATGCTCATAATGCACACCAATAAATAGGTTTCTAACTAAATCACACACAATAAAGGTGCATTGGCAATAAAAAATAAGACATGCTACATGTAGCACCCAGCTATGGTTACACAAATATTTTTGTACTAGGAAATAATTTATCATCTTATTGATTTCCCATAGTGTCGATAAAATGCACATCGGTAAACGAAAGATAAAGGGCTCTCAAGAAAACCGTGGCATGCGCTCTTTACATAAATCTGCAGTAGGAAGTGATATGATAGCAAGTCGGTGTCAATCGATGTATTTTTTCTATTTATATGATCATTATGATTACATTTCTTTCATATCTAAGATGAAATTGATTGGAAAATAAAAATCGGTTAATTTTACAATAAATATTCAATTTTATCATCTGTAAAACTGTTTCTGTGATCTGAGAGCAGTTCCAGTGATGATCCAAAGGTCTTACTGTTTAAAAAAAAGTAACAGTTAAATACTTTTACTTTGATAGTTACCCCATTTCGAGTAATGGTTAATCCTATATTTAATCGCACCACGCAATGATACAAGCAGTCAAAACGTCATATCGATAAGGAACCAAAGTCGTCCAACTCTACATGTACTTCCAAAAATTGTCCATTACTTAGGCGAACCTTAAAGGAATCCACTGAGTCAAATATGAAACATTTCACTACTTGATGGTACAATAAACTTTCTGATAACGTTATTAAAGCCTCAATTCATCACGGCTACCACCAAATCAGCCGGAAAGCGAGGTATACAGGTATATTTTGTCTTATCAGTTGTATTTCAATGCAACGGCAGGGGCGAGGCCCCGACAGGTAAACACCTTGCATTGTTCCCGATAAGGACACACAAGGTAGCTAATAGTTTAAAGTAAAAGTGTGATCTGAGATACACATGCTGACTTCATTATCTCTTTAATTAATTGTTATTCTGTTAGTGTTGATAAGTAAAACAATGACACAGAATGCTTTGGTATAACCATCGAGACTATACCATACAGTGTATATGTACACTGTACATACTTCCTGTAAGAATACGGTCATAAATTTCATCTGAAGGGCTATGCCTTGAATATACATGAAAAAGTAAATTTAAATTCAGATAGGAAATAAAAACATTTTCCAACCACTATGATAATAATCAATAAAGAAGTTAGAAGACATCAAATTTTAAGTAAATTTGTAAAATACATGGAAGGCGGGTAAATGTATATGTTTTTATTATGATTTTTAGTTTTATATACATACTTGTACATGTATGCATTTTTTTCACGGAGTACAAAAATAAAATGTATGAACTCTAAATATTAGGATAACAGGGACTTTGACCCAAAAATATTCTTGCTGCAAGCAACGTTTGTTTTTTCTTGATACATACAGACCGTGGTTTTTACTTAACAGGATTTATGTATCTACATACGTAAATATGTCCCTTCTGCGCATGTCTTCTTCTCCTTCCGCTCTGTGTAAATTTTAAGAATTTTCTTCCTTATATCTGGGGATTTTTTATTCAATGTTCTAGTTCTTGAAATTATATACTGTTCTAGCGCTTTATATAATGTTCATTTTGCTTAAATTCTGTTATTTTCTTTTGGGATAACCTGGTTAATTTTGTTGTTTTGAAAGTTATTGTAAGCTTGTTATTTGTGAAATGATTTTGTTGCTAGTTATTTGTTTTAGACCTGTTGGTTCAAACAAATAGAACTCATGGCTTCAAAATCTTTTGATTTCTTGCTTAAAATAATAAAAGAGAACTTATTTTTAAAATGACTTAAACATATTTAACAAAATACCCATCAGAATCAGGGGAACTGTAAAATTATGGTCGAGCGTCCTATAGTCGTGTGTGCCCAGTAGTCGTGCATTATTTTGTTTGTTGTCGTACGTCTGCACGTGCTATGATATTACGTCATAAGCGACTGATTTTCAAAGATTAGAGAAGGAAGTGCTTACTCTAAAACAAAAAGTCAAATATGCTGAGGAAACATTTATAAATTAATCAAATAAACATAAGCATCAATAAAAGCCGCCATTTTGCTGATACTCTTTTTACAGTTTCTAAATATATACTCTACCTGCACGGAAGCGCCACCTATGGACATGACGAGCACATGGCTAATTAGCATAATCATACGTGATGATCACTGGGTATTTCAATTTTTTACTTTGGTCAAGAATTTAGAAAGATGACTTGATAAAAATTATATAGTCCTTATATCGAAATACGTAATTATTACGTAGGAATACATGTATAGAAAGAGTGATGAAAAACGTATGACCTATTTTAGAAAAAAAACAATCGTAAACCTAATTAAATCAAATAAATTCTAAAAATGATTGAATTGATCCTTGAAGAATAAAGTCTTAGTCACATGAAATTTGTTTTTATTTGGTTTTCATTTTTCTTGGCCCCATATTTGCTGTAACATCCGAGTGCACGACCACTGGTCCAAAACAAATATGGCCAATAACCTCACTTGTTTTGTACATCGATACTAAATTTAATAAAGCATTTAGAAATATTTTTAATAGCAAGAAAATTAGACAATTACACGGTAAGTTAAGATATCAAATGAAATAACCACAGTTTTCATTTAAACTGTACTTAGCACTGATACTCTTTTAAGAGCACGACTACTGGGCACTCGAGGGTATAGATATTATATTATATATAATTATATATTACCCTTATAAAGACACTATCGTTTGGAAATCATATATGCATTCGTCTCTGGAATTGAAGATATCGACTTGTAATTGCTGAAAAGTCAGCGACAAACTTGTAAATGAGAGTAAATAAATCAGGACGACCAATGCATGAAAACTTATTTTCAAAACGTAACCGACGCTTTTAATCACAGGTGAACTAACGGGTATTATGAAAATTTGTGTTTGTGTACCTGATACTAGTGATTTATAGTATGTGAAGTGTATGAGAAAAATAAAGTTATCGATTACATGTAACAATTTATGTTTTATATTAACACACCTATACAAGTATGTTCATATTCTCAGCCAATCCTTTTTTCAAATTTTTGTCACTTTGCCATTTAGAATTTTTAAGGAGTACAGCGATGTAGTATTGTAAATATTTTATTAAAGTAAAATTGGGATTTTTTTTTAAATTCATGCACATGTATAAAGAACACATTTACTATAAAGCCTTGGGACTATCAAGAAACATAGTTTATCGGAGACCTGTTTCTAATGGGCCAGGAAAAGATAAAACTTAAGTGTTTTACAAAGGCATATATAGGAAACAATCTTTAAAAAATCTTCTCAAGAACAGCAAAGGAATTACTAGTCATACTGATATGGAAGCATTCTCAGGAAGAGTAGATTCAAATATGTTCAAAACATGACCTGGGGTAGGATGGGGCGATAATGGGTGATCAAAAATTTACTTAGGAAAAAATCTTCAAAAATCTTCTGAAGAAAAGCAAAGGAATAATTAGTTATGTTGAATGGGAGCATTCTCATGTAGTAGAATCAAGTTTGTTCGTTTTCATGATATTGATATAGAAGAATTCTTAGGTTGTAGATTGAAGTTGGTTCACCATGACCTCCCGGGGTAGGGCGGGGCAATAATGGGCCTGGCGATAAAGGTTTTACATAGGAATAAAGAGGTAAAAAATCTTTTAAAAAATCTTTGCAAAAGCATGGTCAGTCATTCTGAAATTGAAGCTTCCTCAGGTAGAGTAGATTATTTTTTTTTCAACTCATGACCCCAGGGGGTAGAGTTGAGCTACAGTGGAGGATCACAATTTTACATACGGAATATAGGAATAAATCTTTATAAATTTTCTTTTCAAGAACATCGAAAGCATGATTAGTCTTGTTGATATTGAACCATCCTCAGGTAGATTCAAGTTTGTTCAAATCATAGACCGGGGGAGGGGGGGGGGGTAGGATAGTGCCATGATAGGTGATAAAATTTTACAAAGAAATATAAAGTAAATAAATTTTCTAATGAAGAATAGGAGGACCATATAAGGTGAGAGTTGTGGCCCATTGCCTCTTGTTTGATAAAACCCTCGAATTCAAATTAAAGAACTGGACTGAAATATAGTTAGAAAAAAGTTTTAGCATAAAATTGCATTTTCAAAGGCATATTTCCCATAACAGAGAAGAGAAAGAGGACCCACTGATCTGCCAAAAAATGTAATACTATATAGTATAGTAGAAAGAAATGGTAAATTCTGCCATTTTACATGCTACTGCCTCGCTAGCTATGAAAATATTTAATTGTCTATAAACGTTTAAAGTGTGATTGGGTAAAAACTTAGTTCGTCCTAGCCCTTTACCTACGTGTTTTATAAAGCAAACAATTTAAAAAGAATTCAAAAAAAAAAAAAATGAAAATTTTAAAATATGAGTCACGGTTAAAAATAAAAAAAAATACAGGATTACAATCAGTGGATTAGGATCAATTATTTCTCTGTTACATATATGATACAGTAGTGTAGTAAGGATCACTGTAAATAATCTCTACAACAATCAAACAAAGTGACTTTTTGAAAAAAAAAATATTTGAAAAATTGAAAGAAAAAAATATTCTTTTTTTGCAACAGTTTACACCCCCCCCCCCCCAAAGTAAACAGTGAATATTGTAATAAGATTGTAATAACTACATTCGCAGAAATTATTCGGAAAAAGTTTTTTTTTCTGCCTTATATTCATTGCATGAATTGAAAAAAAAAACAGAGATGAATATCCTCTACTATTTTACACCTAAATTGATAAAGGTCGATATTGTCACATGCTTTAAATAAACGAACATAGTCTAAATCAAATTGCAGTATTTTGGATAATTATATCCCCGCTCCGAAGAATACTGTTTTACCCTTGTGTGTCTGCCTGTCAAATTTTCGTTGCAGTTTACTCAGCAAAAAATCTTCGCAGAATTGTCAGCACACTCCTTGTTTAGGCATACCAAATGGTGAGATTCATTTTTGTAAGAATCCGATATCAACTTCTTGTTCATCCATGTGTCTGTCCGTACTAATTTTTCGCCGCAGTTTTCCAGCAACTACTCATCGCAGATGCTTGAAATTTTAGCACACCCTTTGTGTAAGCATACCATATGGTGGGATTCGTTTTTGTACGAATCCGGTCAAATCCTTTTTTCTCTCTGCGTCTGTGCGTTCCAACATACCGTCGCAATTTTCTCAGCAACAACTCAAGGCAGATGCTTGAAATTTTAGCACACTCTTTGTTTAGGCATACCATATGGTGGGATTCATTTTTGTACGAATCCAATATTAACTTCTTGTTTATACGTACGTCTGTCCGTAGCAAATTTCCAAAAAGTGTGTGAACAATGAGAATGATTTCATAATGGATTTATGTTGTTAGTATAATGTATTCACATGAGAGCGTATATTCACATCAGAGCGGGGGTATTACTAGTGAGCATTGGCTTACAAAATTCTTGTTTTACATATCTGAAGAAAACTTCCTCAGATTAAATCTTGTCCGACTATGTTCCTTTTTT